CGGACCATTGAAGAAATTGTCGAGCTGTCGGGAGTGACTTGGAGCTCAGTTCAGCGAATTTTGACAGAAGATTTGGGAATGAAAAGGGTGGCTGTGAAATTCGTGCCACGACTGCTGACAGCTGAACAAAAACAAGGTCACGTGGAAGCATGCTGTGCTTTGAAAGAAGAGTCCTGAAATGATCAAAACTTTTTTTTGTTTCCTCGAATGAAAAGAGACATGAAAGGAAAGCGTTTTGCTGATGTTGCTGAGGTGAAGGAAAAAATGACAGAGGCGCTGTCAAGCATCTCAAAAGATGAATTTAGACAATGTTTTGGAAAATGGAATAAAAGACTAGACAAGTGTATTAGTAGTGTAAGTGGAGAGTACTTTGAAGGGGATTGAAGGTTCGTGCTTAAAATTTGAATAAATAAGTTAAAAAAAAAGTTCGGTTTCTTTTGGGTACTCCCGCGTTAGTCACAAAAATATATGTATATTAATTGAGTTAGTAGCATATTGTCCCTTCTGGTTGTAGGAAAAATCATTGTGCTAAATTGTTTTTAATGCAGAAAAATATCAGACTATTGTATTCAAGAAAATTATGTAATCTTACATATAAACATAATGCACTTTCCTTAACAGAGACTTTGAAATTGTAGAAATATAATGAAAGGCATTTTCATGTCATGTGTCAGAACTTTGGCCCACGTGGTAGCTAAACTCAGTGCTAATAATAAGCATCCTATCCTTGATAATGTTGCACATAAGTGAATCTACAAGATATTATCGTAAAACTATTTTAGTTTATTTATTGTGTGCTTTATTAACATCTTTTATGATTAAGAATTTCTGGCTTTTTGAAGTTTAGAAGCTATTATGATAATTCCAACATCATTACACACTCATAGTTATATCCATGTTTCAAGTAATAATATTCTCTGTTAGTGGAATTAACATTTAGCTTAAAATTCTTAAATATTTTATTCTTTTCATATTCAGGGACCAAGAACAGTGGAAGCCTCTTATTGCAGATCGTTGTTTCCTAACATGGCTGGTAAAGATTCCATCAGAGCAGGAACAACTTCGGGCAAGGCAGATATCTGCTATGCAGATCAACAAGTTGGAAGAACTTTGGAAGGACAATGCTGATGCTACCTTTCAGGATTTAGAGAAACCGGGTGTTGATGAAGAGCCTCAACAAGTATTGCTGAGGTATTTGGAGTGAAATTTCATTACTTTTCTCCATTTATATGAGAATATTTAATGTGAATTAATGTATTCTGTGCTTTAGGTATGAAGATGGTTATCAGTATCAGAACATCTTTGGGCCGTTGGTGAAGTTGGAAGCTGACTATGACAAGAAACTAAAAGAGTCGCAGACACAAGAAAATATTGAGGTCCGTTGGGATGTGGGACTCAACAAGAAGACAATTGCATACTTCACACTCGCAAAAACTGATGGAGGTAAGATTGACTTTTTTGATTATATCTTTAACTCTTTTAGTGTAGATCAGTTCCATTTGACAGTGTTTGGTGCAAGAATTCTGTCTTCTGGGATATAATGCCATATAATCCAGTAAGTCAACTGACATTTCAGAGATTGGCTTTTGCCATACTACATGGTGTTATATCCCAGAAGATAGAACTCTCGTCCTTATCTGTTGCAATTCAAAAACATGAAGATGTAGGACATACTGCAGAGATCAGTCTGTGTCACCACTTCTTTGCTCGTCTGCATCACCTGTATTCTTCTTTGAAGAGACAGTACATTTTACTGTGTAAGCCTGACGGTCCAGTCAACACGTGTCCCTAACCCCTAATACAGTATCATGTATGATGGTGTCACTTCCAGGGCTTTTGTACATTGTCTCCTGGGAAACATGGAACTTGTCTTTACTTTTTTCAAGTACAAACTCAAGCACTTAATTTTCTGCATATTTATACAAGGGTTGGAACTTTAATAGTGGCAACACTGCTGTAAAGATGCCATGCAAGAGATCCAAATAATGTCGCTTGTACCACACATAAGTTACATACCTACCTTACCTCAGAGCAAATGAACTCTCCCTTCCCACATCACGTGCATGCGCAGAGACGAGAAGAGCAGAGCCTTGTGTTAGCTGGCGGTCTTAATGTAGTGTTGTCACGATGTTTTCGAAACAGGAACAACGGAGTTGGATCAAGATTGAATGTGCCAGAGGCCATACAGCACGACAGTGTCATCAAGGTCTTCAAGAGGCTTGCGGGGAATCTGCAGTGCCTTACAGAACAGTGGCAAGGTAGGTAAAAGCCTTCAACGAGGGACGCTAAAATGTGGCAAACATGCGTTGGCGAGGTCATCCTAGTGTCAGTGAAGAAGTGTATGCTCTTTCCGCCTTACTGGAGAGTGATCAACGCCATACGATTTGTGGGCTGGCCCGAGAGACAGGATTAGCACGTACGACTGTGCCTCACATTATGAAGGAACACCTGGGCATGAGAAAAATTGCATCACAATGGGTTCCACACGATTTGACAGAAATGCAGAAGTGGCAAGCTGTGGCTGATTTGTTCAATCGATGGGGCTGGGAAGTGCTGTACCATCCACCATAATCCCCGGACTTAAGCCCTTGTGTCTTTTGACTTGATTCCTAGGATGAAGGAACCTCTTCGTGGCATTCGCTTCAGAATTGTTTCAGAGATTCTTCAGGCAGTAGACCGCTTCTTTCGAACTATCAACACAACAGGTGCTGCTAAAGGTATCCTGTGACTTCCACATCACTGGCAACATGTTGTACGCAGTGCTGGTGGCTACATTGAAGGACAGTAAAACTTCGAATCATTCATCTATTTTATATCAGTTGTAAATAAATAGTTGCCACTATTAAAGTTCTAACCCTTGTTTCTTTGATAGAGTCCATTTTCCCAATATACTGTCTGTTCTAGAACAGGATATATGTTGCCATATAAGTATGTATATCAATTATAAAGTTTCTCTTTAATACGGTGCTCCCCCTGAAGATGGTCTTATGTGAACAAAATATGTTGGGTTGTTTTAACAACATGTAATCAATACAAGAGAAATAAACTGGATGTACTTAGATAGTAATTTACATCATGTTCTAGAACTTGTATCCTTGTTTGAACCACAAGAATTTTTTCATGTGTAGTTGGCACACTTTTAATTTTCCCCAATGACCATTAATTGAAATGTGAGATTTGAGTTTCTCACACCGGAGACTATGAAGATGCGATGCCATACACACAGTTAGGTGTTTGCTAATATTTTGGAGGTATGTGCTGCTTCAATCTTCTCTCCTGAAGATGGTGACATCACAGCCCCCCAAAGCATTAGTAAACACTGTCTTCATTTCCATACAATGCTTATTTAGAACACTATTACTGTACTCAGATAAATCATTTGAAGTTTCAGTGTCGGTCATATGAGGTAGGTTGTTCTTCAGGATCAGAGATCAACTTTTCAATCTTGTTTGCACTTATACTACTTGTTTCCTCATAGCTCAAACAGTGAGACTGCTGATAAGCAGATATGTTGGATCCAAGTCTGTGAGGTCTAAAATTTCAGTTTTCCATCACCAGTACACATCCAATAGATGTAACAAGTAATATAATACTTGACACACAAAACAGGCCCAGTTTGTGTGTTTCAAAATCAGTGGCTTCTTTTAGTAACATCATGTGGTTAAATATTACCTACTTACTTACTCATGGAGCTGAGCTCTTCTGGAGGAGCCGCCACTTCTGCAGCTACTCAAATATTTGCAAACATTTTATGGAACCTGAAGGTTCATTACCATGTTCACAAGATCCCTCCACTGGTACCTATCCTGAGCCAGATCAATCCAATCCATACCATACCATCCTATCTCTAAGATCCATTTTAATATTGTCCACCCACCTATGCCTTGGTCTTCCCAGTGGTCTCTTTCCTTCTGGCTTTCCCACCAATATCCTATATGCATTCCTCCTCTCCCCCATTCATGCTACATAACCTGCCCACCTCATCCTCCTTGGCTTGATCATTCTAATTATACTTGGAGAAGCGTACAAGTTATGAAGCTCCTCATTATGCAGTTTTCTCCAATCTCCTGTCACTTCATCCCTCTTCGGTCCAAATATTCTCCTCAACACCCTGTTCTCAAACACCCTCAGTCTGTGTTCCTTCCTTAATGTCGGAGACCAAGTTTCACATCCATACAGAACCACAGGCAAATTTGTAGTTTTGTGTGTTCTAATTTTTATGTTTTTGGACAGCAGACGAGAAGACAAAAAGTTCTGGACTGAATGGTAGCAAGCATTGCCCGAGTTCAATCTTCTCTTAATTTCCTCCTGAATCAGGTTTTGATCTGTTATCGTTGTTCCCAAATATCTGAACTGTCTACTTATGCACATTAAACACAGGTATTTCATCCAGCCTACACTGAATATTGATTATGCCCTACTCTAGTGGTTACGAAAGCAGCTGATGATGTGAGAGGGGTTAATCTTGTTCTGGTTTACCTTTGTTTTGTCAGTTTGCTGCAGTAATTTGTCTTTTTCCTTCTTAGACATGAAGCTGATGCATGGAGATGAATTGCGTCTACGCTACCTGGGAGAACTACACAAGCCATGGTCAGGAGTGGGTCATGTGATCAAGATCCCAGATAATTTTGGTGAAGAAGTGGGAATTGAATTGAAAAACAACAGTGGTGCCCCCACTGATTGCATTTCACACTTTGTTGTTGATTTCAATTAGAAATCTACTTCATTTGATAGGTTAGTGTGCTTTTAATAATGTAACTATATATTGTTCTATTGGCCACGCCATAGCTCAAGCGGTTAAGTTGCTGGCTTCCCACTGCGGCGGCCCGGGTTAGATCCCGGGTCTGGTCAAGTGGGATTTGTGGTGGACAAAGTGGCACTGGGGCAGGTTTTCTCTGAGTACTCCAATTTCCCCTGCCAATCTTCATTCCACCAAATGCTCCACAATCACCCTCACCCATCATCTGGGGCTGGTACAATAGGCCAGAAGTGGCCGCAGTGCAAGGGACTTAGTCCCACCCCACTAGCACTAAAAAAATATATTATTCTTATGTCTGCTCTTGGTTACATCTGTTAATCACAATTTATATCCTTCAGATATATTTTATACTGATCTAACACAGTGATTCCAATAGTCCTGTTGAAACATTTCTGTTGCTCTTGTTTGGGAGGTCTCGGGCATTTTGTCCTATTGTATTGTTTCTCATTTTGTGGGCAGGAAAGGTTGATAAATGCAGTTAATAAAGTGAGTAGGGAGGTCAAGAATTCTGTTGTGGAGGGTTCTAAGTGATTGGTGTGTTAATGATGCCACATCCATGAATGTGACTCAATTTGTAAGCTACTAGGTGGTTCAAATATGACCAGGACTGATTAAAAAAAAAAAAACCATAATTGCCAAACACTTACTTGCACATGTCAGTCTTCAACATACTCCCCTCCAAAGTCAACACATTTTTTCCAACTTTCTGGAAGCATCCTGATGCCCCCCCAAAGAAAGATTTGTGGTTGGCGGCGTATCCACTCCCGAACAGTCTGGATGATGGCGTCGTGGTCCACAAACCACATGCCTTGCAAGTCTGATTTGACCCTTCCGAACAGGTAGAAATCACTTGGGGCCAAACCGGGACTGTATGGTGGATGTGTCAGAAGGTTCCATTTCAATTTCTGAAGGGTTTCCATTGTTTTGGCAGTATGGGGGTGTGCATTGTCTTGAAGGAAGGCTACCCGCTTTCCACCTGTCTTCCGCTTGGATCGGATCTTACTCCAAGTTCCTTCATAGTGATGCGCCTATTCTCACAAATAAGTACATCTGCACGATCAATGTTCAGCTTGGTGATGGATGTTCGCGGCCAACAATCATGCGATTCATTCTCCATGCGCTCTCTGCCCTCTCTGAAGCACTTACACCACTCAAACACACAGGTCTGTGAGAGACACTCTTCCCCATACTGTTGTTGGAGTCTGGTGAATTTCAGCGGACGGGACATTTTCTCCAATGAGGAATTTGATCACAATGCGTTGTTCCACACTCAGCAGTACCTTCTGTTCTCTCATCACTCTAGCAACTTCCAGACAGGACTGAACAGGTTCTAACCCTAACAGGAGGGAGGGTGGATGTTGTGGCTTCACTCTTGCAAGGTCGCACAGCTGCTGTGCAGTGTGGCTTGTTTACAAAAAAATCAGTCCCAGTCATATTTGAACCACCTTGTATATCTATTTCCATAATCCTGGGCCATGCATGATTCATACCTCATTATTTGAGGTGGAAAAAGAAGGCAGAAATCTTACATTTTATTCCTACAGAATAAAATTAAATATCATCATCATCATCATTCGCAGTATTTTGCTTGTTGAGACCTGTTAAAGCTATTATGAAACAATCCTTTCATCATTTCACAGGTCTTCCTCAACTTCTGTCCTTTGCTTGATATTTTTAAGATTTGTTTTTCTTTCTTTTTTTAATCATATGAGAGCTCATCAGTGTGTTCTCTCCAATTTCTGTATTCTGTAAATTTGAAAGTTTGTAGTTCTTTTGTAATTTCCTCTTTTATGGTCTGAAAGGTTATACGTCAGCGTGAAGTTTGAGTTATGTGTCTGTCTCAGCTTTCATCATATTGTAACATGTTTCGAGTTCGAATCCTGTCGGTCACATGTGTAAGTCCAATCCCACTTCTGACACCAATGTAACATGTTTTGTTATTGAAGACGCCGTTTGGATTGTTAATTGGTTTATTTAACAACCTACAAGTCTCGGCTACAATTAATTACAACACTGTTGCGGGGTTTCACACTTTATAGCCCTATTCGCAATAATCAATTCACTCTGTTCTCAGTAGTCTACACGTATTAATTACGATACGGGAGCTATACAAGTGTCACTGTATCACACACTCAATTATTACTCAGTTATCACAAACTATCACTGATTATCACACACAATTCCGGTTCTTCTTTCCACGATGGCTGCTATATTCCAGCTCAACTCTTAATGGCTCACTGCTGGCTAGATTCCAACTCAACTCGTTGGCTGCTGCCTTGAGAACTCACTTCGGCGGCTGTGTATTTCCCTTATATAGTCGCAGTGTTTGCCTGTTACGTAGTGAGTACTGCTGTTGCCTGACGCCGTGTCGACACCGGCGTTGCATGCCTCGTCACAGTAGGAAGCGGTGCCATGTAGCCTGGGGGGGGGCTACATCACCGTGGCCAGAGCTGCCACATCACTGCTGGGGGAGGGAGGGGTTGTCCTCTATTGAGCAACATGTCACAGTATGTTGTACTGTATACTGTATAGCATATCAGAGTGCCTGGGCTAAATAGGATAAATGGGGTAGCAAATTATAGACAAATGTTTACCTACGTGGACTTTACTATACATTTCATTTAAACACATCTAATCAGCCTAACTAGTTTCCTGGGTACACAAAATTTGGTGAGAATATTGCACAGTACTGACCCCCTAACTGAATTATAGGCTTTCTTGAAGTCTGAATAGCTGGTGTACCGTCTCTTTGTACTCCCATTTTTTTCTCTAGTTTCTGACAAGTGCAAAAAATCTGATCAGTACTTGATCTGTTACGTTGAAACCCACACAGATTATCCCCAATAATTTCATCCATATATTGACTTTACCTTGAGCTAAGGATATTGGGTAAAATGTTGTATTAATTTGGCAGCAGTGATATCCCATCATAATTACTACAGTCAGTTTTGCCACCAGTGATAACTCGTGAAGTCAAAATATGTAGTTGTTTTTAATGAGTATCAGTTATGTTTTAAGTTATGTCAATAATAGTTAAAATCCAGTTTACTAATCTTATAATTACTGAATATGGCAAGATGTAGAATATTCTTGTTGTGATGGCTTTCAGGTATATGAGTGTGGAAGCTTAAGGGATACTGTGCTATGGATGGTTGAGTATTTACATGGTGTTTAAATGATTTCACATTTATTAAAAACATTTCTCTGAAAAACTGTTCAGAGATAAAGAATGGCTGTAATGTAAATGTATGTGTGACACAGTTATAATTATTTGACATAGGCAGAAATATGTAATTTACATATTTATGTTTTTATATAGATAAAAAGAAACACGAGAATAGCATAAAATATTCATTCCAGCATAGTTTTCATGCTACCCTTTGCTATATAGTTTGAATACAAATAGGTATATGAAATTAGGTCAGTATGAAAGTTCTTCTAATCCATTGACAGCTGAGACTTTCTCGTCTCAGATGAGTTCTGTCTGTATATTCTGTCTAGTTCTGTCAGAACTAGACAGAATATACAAATACTTCCTAATGTTAGTCAAAAGATGGCAAAACATGTATATTTGTCAGTGGCCATATAGCTCATCATAAAAATTCTTAATTAATACTGTAGGTTTCAGAATGTGATATTTTAGACAAAAGCATTGCTCTAAAGCGATTAGTCATTGGCTTCCCACCACAGCAGCCCGGATTCGATCCCGGGTCTGGTCAAGTGGGATTTGTGGTGGACAAAGTGGCACTGGGGCAGGTTTTCTCCGAGTACTTCAGTTTCCCCTGCCAGTCTTCATTCCACCAAATTCTCCATCATCATAATCACCCAGGGCAGGTACAACAGGCCAATCAGTGGCTGCCATGCCAAGTGGACCCAGTTGGACTCCACCCCCCACTAAGCGAATTTCAGAAAAAAGAAAGCATTGCTCTGCTGTGTTGGTAATCCAGCGTATCTGAGGCATAGCAGTCAAAAAGTTAAACCCTGGTAAAATATATGAAGTAAGAAACTAAATTAAAGATATTAAGGACATAACAAACTCCAGTCTTTCCTCAGCCTGCCATTTTATTTAGTAATGCCATGAAGATTATCGATGAAATTTTGTCACCTGAGGAACTTTGATTATTTCCTTAGGTACTGAAATCCAACTTGATAACACTGTTATAAACATTCAGAGTAGATAATTCTGTAGGATATGATTAAAAGACAGTAACCATCTGTCATTTTTTTGTTTTGGCTTTATACACAGTATCTCAAAAAAGAACAGTAGATTTGTAGCTCTCAGTTGAAATATGATGTCTGCTCTCTTACCAGATGTGGTCAGAACAGATATATGTAGTTTGACCCATGTCTTTCACACAAACTTCTGGTGTTGAAATGTCCCGAAAGAGTGAGTTGGCATATGGGTAAATCCACAAGTGTCTAGTATTACAACCTGCATAACCTCTTTCATGTATTTTAAATTTATACCAGGAAATACCAGTTAACAGATTAAAATATTTTGTATGAACTGCCAGATTCAGTCAGATTGATCTGCCATTCTTTTCATGCTGGTCCCATTATAACTAAGATTGGCAGAGTTAATGTCAGTCTTGAGCTTCTAAAAGATGAGAGATTAATCATCGGATTGTAGAGAGTAAACTATTGTTTTTATTTTATTTCAGATAGCCTGGTATATTCTGTGTGTGTATGGTTTATGAAACACAAATATCTTTTGTTCACTCTCCACCTCACATCTTCACTTTGTGGGAAAACATATTTGTTGTTTCATTTATTTACTTAATCACCACTATATTTATTTTACAAGATACATGTCTTGTACTCTCATTGTGTTATCTTTATTGCAGAATGCAGTTGGCCTTAAGGAAGTTCGCAGTTGATGATTCCTCAGTGTCAGGCTATATTTATCATAGGTTACTTGGTCATGATGTAGAGGAAGTGTTGTTTCGCTGTCATCTACCAAAACACTTCTCAGCACCTAATCTTCCTGACCTGAACCGTTCCCAGGTAACAGAATTTCTGCCATATTGGAAGTGACCCTGTGAACTGAGATGGCTTTGCTATCAGTAGATGTGTGAGACTCTAAAAATTTGTTTTTAGGAATCAAAAGTGAATGTTGCGGAGGTAGTACATATCTGTCCATCAGTATGTTTGATCTCCTGAATTCTCATTCATTTTCTTATCTCATCACTAAAAATCATCATATGTGTTTAAGTTTAGGTGGCTGTATAGAACCTTTCCTTTAGTGTACTTAACTTTATATGAAGTTAATATCAGATTCTTCAGAAACAGCTGAACACACATATATCATTAGGATATATGAATTGTCTACTATTGAATATGAAAACATGATAAACAGATATAATAGCATTCAGTAAATTGCTGATCATATATGAATTATTCAGAATTATTCATACTGGAAAAGAGAAGTAGGCCTACATGTTTTTTTCTGGTATCTGAATGTGGCTTAAAAGTTCACGTAACATGGCCTAGTGTACATATACTAGAGTGTCTGTGCAGAAAATTTGAGCTGCAATTTCAGAAGTTATTTTTATTGTTCATGGTGGTTACTTGGGAGCTGGGATGGCATAGCCGGTGTATTGACTGGCTGCGGACTGGATGACAGGTTGCAGTTTGAGTCCTGGTGGGTCAGGAATTTTCTCTTCTCGTCATCCAGACCAGCTCTGGGGACCAGCCAGCCTCCTGTTGAATGGGTACAAGGGGCTCTTTCCCATGTTAAAGCTGCAGGGTCATGAAGCTGACCACTCACCTCCAGCTAGTGCTGACATCAAGAAAATGTAGATCTATACAGCCACTCCCCCATATGTCTTCATGGTGTGGTACTTAATTAGTTAAGCACAGGGACAGCTTTACCTTTATGTTGTTTACTTACATTTTAGGTCTATAGGTTCTTGGCTTATACACATCACTTTTGTTACCTTTGGAACACAGACATGGGAGATAATTGTATTCCCACTTTAGAATGGTCTGATTTTTTTTAAATTTTCCATAGATAAAGTAATGGTACCCAATCCATAACTTGAGTAAGCAATAGTGTTAACTTGAGACAAAATGAAACTACACCGTGTCACAATCAAGGTTTGTTACCAAGGTTACAATAAAACATATGGTTATGTGTTTTTTTGTCATTGCCATTAATGCTGCATTGCTTTTCATATGAGGAAATGCTGAAGGAAGAAATTGACTGTTTGATTGAATTGGGCTGGGACCCATGAAAATAACCACAAAATTATCTTCCCATGGTGTCTCCCCAAGAAAAATATGTTGTGTTTTAACCATTACCCCCCCCCCATATCTGCTTTTGGAAGGAACAATGGGATGGAAAGGCATTCAGCTTTTAAATATGACATTATGTAACACATTCATCATGCCTTTGTAGGACCCCATTGGAATTAAGATGTGTATGCAGGTCTGAGTTAATGCCCAAAAACATGAAAAATTTGAGAGAAGTTACATGTGTTTTAGTATCCCCAGAATTGCTTTTACATATTTCTTTCAGGGAAGAAAATACATAATTTTCATATTTCAAGATATTACTAGAGTAGTTATAAATGTTTGTTTCAAGTTTTGTGTGTCAGAAATATTCATTTTCACCTGTGTGTTTATATCTAACACCATGTAGCAGTCTTCCTTGAGAAGCTAATTGTCACTTAGCTAGTCAAGAAATTCTGTGCTTTTTGTGGAACCCAAAGATTCATATCTTTGTTCACAAGAGCCTACTGTGGTCTTACCCTGAGCCCTGCTTGTTCAAAAAGAATTGTAGAATTATTAAATTTATGACATGTCCCCCTCCAAATAAAATGTTCTTCAAAATATGTGCACATAAAAGTTCCCTTGTCGCAAAAAGAGGTGTTCAGTGACCCTGATATTTTAGTATTTGGGATTCATTGCATGCTTCATAATTGTGCAGGTATATGCTGTAAAACACGCAGTTCAGCGTCCACTTTCACTAATCCAAGGTCCACCAGGAACAGGCAAAACAGTCACATCAGCCACCATTGTGTATCATCTGGTGAAGCAGAGCGGTGGTTCTGTCCTTGTGTGTGCACCTTCCAATATAGCTGTTGACCAGTTGACTGAGAAAATTCACCGAACAGGGCTTAAAGTGGTGCGTCTTTGTGCCAAATCACGTGAGGCCATCGAATCTCCTGTCTCATTCCTTGCACTTCACAACCAGATACGTAACATGGATTGGTGAGAGCCATTATTTGACTTATTTTATTATCAGAAGCATGCAGCATAGTGTTGTGTGTGCTCTTTAATGTATGAAAATAAATACATTTTATTCCTGGGAGGTGACATTTTTTGAAGCAGCTGAATTATTCAAAATACAGAATGCAAATGCCTGCTAATGTTACTTGAAACTTTATTGCTAGCTGAAATGGTATTAATAGTTGGTAAAGAGAAAACAGCTTTTACATTTGTAATTTTAATAGCAAATTAGTTACTGGTCAGCCAAATGTAATGAGTTTACCATCAGAATAATATGTCCCTAGAATATCAGTGTTTTATGGAACATAATTTTAGTAAAGTTCATGTGGTATATTAAGATGTTCCAGTATACCCTTAAACTGGCGTTTATTGTGATATTTTTGTTATTAGACCGTTTGAAACCCTTAATATCAATACCATATTATTTAAATTGTGTTTAAATTTGGTTTAGTTTTAAGCCTTACACAATGATACCTCGTATGCTGTTACAGCTTGTAATTCTAGCCTCACAGAAAATAAACATCATTGTAGTCAGAAGTTAATTTCTGCCTGGTCTTAATTTTTAAGGTCAGAATATAACTTTAAAATTTCATTTTTAAAGCTTTGTTTTTATTGTGGCACAATAAGTAACAGGTTCATCTTATTGATACAAATTGTGTATTCTTATTACATTTCCATAAATGTTACTGCTAGCCTAGGATTAAAGAAAATACACACAAAGAAAATGAAATGTACTGGTCTTCATTTTAAAATACCATGACTGGTCCTGTCATAACTATGATAAAGGGGGTCATCGTACAAGAAGCTTCACTGAGCTCATGTTGTTTTCTTTGCAGTAACACTGAACTTCAGAAATTACAGCAACTGAAAGATGAGACTGGGGAACTCTCATCTGTAGATGAAAAGCGGTACCGAATGCTGAAGAAAGCTGCAGAAAAGGAGCTCCTGGAAGCAGCTGATGTGATATGCTGCACTTGTGTGGGAGCTGGTGATCCACGTCTCCAGCGGCTGAAGTTCCACTCGATACTTATTGATGAGAGTATGCAGTCCACTGAACCAGAATGTATGGTTCCAGTTGTCTTAGGAGCCAAACAGGTAATATCTTCCACAGCTTTAGTGGAGTACAGTCATGCAAACCCACCATATCATTCTGTATTTGACATATGTTCAGTCAATACTATCATGTGAAACTACTTGTACAGTTGAAATGAATATTGTGGAACTAGCTTAAGGTTACTTAAGAGGCTGGGGTTTTTATAATTATTAAAAGTATAACAGCTTATAATTCTTATGAGTGAAAACTGAACTCTTTAATACTTGTATACAATGGGTAAATCTTTGATAACTGACATGTTATGAGAAACCACTGATGCTGATCTTTGGATTGAAACACATAGGGTTATCTTAATAAAATATATAATTTACGTTGTTAGAGCTGTGTAGTGGTGGACTGTGTATGCATATATATTTTTTATTTGTTTCTACATGACATCTTGCATTTATTCAGCTGATCCTGGTAGGAGATCATTGCCAGCTGGGCCCAGTTGTGATGTGCAAGAAGGCAGCTCGTGCTGGCTTATCACAGTCACTGTTTGAGAGATTGGTTGTTCTGGGAATTCGTCCATTCCGGCTGGAAGTACAGTACCGGATGCATCCAGAATTGTCTCGTTTCCCCTCAAATTTTTTCTATGAGGGTTCCCTCCAAAATGGCGTTTGTGCAGGTTGGTATTGAAAGTGAGGAATGAATAGTTGTGAAGTTTACTTATCAGTAATTGATCATTTAAAGGAATGGAAAGTGTTGTCAGTTCATAATTTATGTAATATTTCCAGTACTATAATAAACAAGTGAATACGAAATTGAAATGGAAAACTGATATGATAGATCTGTGAGCCTGGGTAGTTAGTCAACACAGTGGTTGGTTAAGGTATGGGCAGTTAGCTTGGTTCCACATGTAGGACAACTCAAGTGCTCTCTCAGTTTGCTGTCCAGTAGGTCTCAGGGAGCCCTGACTCAGGAGTAATTTGGTTGGTGATAGAAACTGACCTCCACCTTCATTCAGCACTACGGTCAAATATGCTGGGTACAAGATGTACAAGATCTAATCCATCATTGCTATGATGAATGAATGTAATACTTTACATTTACAGAGGAACGTAAACTGACGAAGATTGAGTTCCCATGGCCACAGCAGGAAAAGCCAATGTTCTTCTATGTGACACAAGGTCAAGAAGAAATTGCTGGATCAGGGACGTCTTATTTAAACCGAACAGAAGCCTCTAATGTGGAGAAACTGACAACACGTTTCCTGCGTTGTGGTGTTAAACCTGAACAGATTGGTGTTATTACACCTTATGAAGGCCAGCGAGCTTACTTGGTGAGTTTAGTACTATTGTTATTGGAAATGTAATTTTCCGGAGTCGTGGTCTCAGTTTTGCAATACAGTGAAACACAACATACACTGAACTGAGGGGCTGCCAGATAATATGAATAACATTAAAAACACCTAGTATATATCCACACAACTTTGTTCTCAACTGTATTATGAAGTAGCATGTAAATAATATTTAATCGGTAACAACAATATCAAAAAGAAATGAAAAACTAAATTTTTATGAATAAAACAGTCACACATGCGCAGTAAAATCATAAAAGTTCATTGTTTGAAAAAGCTTGCAATTAAAGTTTTGTTTTCCAGCTTCATGTTCAGTAACAGAGTGTTGGATAACTGAAGATTGGATGATCAGGGTTCTGTTGTGTTTGTATTCATCGATCTTTTTCATTGGACATGTGCTGATAATATGCTTCAGTGATTGCAACGGAATCAGTAGTCGCTTGTTACCAGTGTAGATAAAACTGCATCAGCTTAGACTGTTGACACTGGACAGCAAAGGAAGGAATACATCAATCTGGAAAGGTATTCCTTGGTTTTACCATGCTGATGTTGGTCCTTTTTTGGGTAATGGCACCATGTAGAAATGGGTTATATTGTGAACATTTTGGAGGTTCTTGCTCTCTTCATCATAATAAGGCCATCTACGCAGTGGCCCCTGCCAGTCCTTACAGTACATGTCCACTGTTTCAGCTTTGAGCCATAGCCAGGAGCAGATGGGAAAGAAATATAGTCTTTAAAAGTGCTGATCTCTTTCTTGGAAAGGAGGGGTCCAGTATTAAAGAAGCAGGATGTCTGAGGAGGTAGTGAAAACTTTATGGGAAGCTTGGGCCAGTGGGTTTGGCAATAGGAGCCACTGCTACCATCAGCATCATTCCTTCTTTCTGTCCAGTATGAGGCTCTTTGATACCTGTTACGGATATTACAAAACAGAAAGTGGTAAGAGGGAATAAACCCCAAAAAGGACTAGATTAGATGTAAAGCAGTGGTGCATATGTCTGTTCAATTTGATGATCATATTTTTTAGATATACTGGAAGTCAAAAGGTTCTGAACCAAGGACAACAGTAGAATCTCACTTTAAGTTCTTTTGAGATGAGATTTCCCCTGATTTGTATCCTCCCCCCATGCCAAAGCCCCATATAAATACATATATTTTACCCTTAATTAGTGATATTTATTTTAGTCTTTCACCCAGATTGGTAAACAAATATCCAGACCATACATGAAATCTTAATTCGGTTTGATGTCATATTTACCTGAATGGGAGACAAGGTCTTTTTTTTTCTGTGCCTTAAAAAGTTAGTGCAACAACACAGTGTGAAATAATTATCCATGTGAACTCTACTGATATTCTTTGATTCACAGGAAATATACATTAACTTGCACATGATGAACACTAATGTACAGTGTAGATTTTTGTATCACAACAGTCTTACTGGATTGTTGAAAATATCTGGCTTGAGACTTTAGAAGAAGTGTTCTCTGATTGGAAAATATTTTATACACAGCATAGCTCTCCGTGGTATAAAAATTAAGTGCAGTTTAAAATATTTAATTTGACCAGAAGATTAACTAACTACTAATTGATTTCAGTTTTGCTTTCCCAGGTATTTATAAGAGGCATGATCATGTTGTTTGAAACTGTTACTTTGATCAATTTGGAGTAGGGTGGTGTTGGCCACCATACTTTCCCGAAAATTTATGTAATTATTTTTTAGGGAGCTTTCTCAAGGACTCTGTCTGTTACAGGCACCCTTAAAGCATCACAGCTCCGAAAAGTGAAACATGCACACTCACCAGAAATATTGGTGTCAATGTTTTGAGCCAAATGATGCAAAATTTCCTTATGCTTATATGTCATGTTGTAAGGCATACAGTGAATGTATTGAGCATGTTCTGAAATAACATCAGGGTTAGAAATAGACAAAATAAACATCCATGCCACAGCTTTGAACCTTCATTTAAATGGCTGTAGTATTACTTTTGCAATATGATTATTTAAATTAAAAGGTAAAGGAAGGTAACAGTATCCTTTTTTTTTATTACTAGTGGCATGGGACTAAGTCCCTTGTACTGCGGTCACTTCTGGCCTGTTGTACTAGCCCCAGATGATAGGTGAGGGTGATTGTGGAGAAATTGGTGGAATGAAGATTGGCAGGGGAAACCGAAGTACTCGGAGAAAACCTGCCCCAGTGCCACTTTCTCCACCACAAATCCCACTTGACCAGACCCGGGATCATACGTGGGCCACCGCTGTGGGAAGCCAGCGACTAACCGCTTGAGCTATGGTGCGGCCCTTTAACAGGCTGTGGAGGCCCATAGGGTTGTGAGACATTGAGGTTTCCACATTTGCTAGGCAGTCAGTTCACAGATGGTGGTAAGGTTCTCAGCCTTACATACCAGCCACCCTTTACCCCAGGAAGAGTCTTGGTACTCAATTCTGTTCGAGGCTGGGTCATCCGCAGGGCAGTTGTTTGGCTGGAAGGATTAGGTCAATTGAAAAATCCAGTGACATTGAGAATAGAACCCATGACCTTCCGGCTTGTAGCATATTGCCTCACCCAACTACGCTACCATGTGCCTCTATTTAAATGAAATTTGTATAAAGTATGCAGTAGTCTTTCTTTTCATGAAGACCTAGTAAAGCTTGGAAGATGAAGGTAAAGGTTGATTCATATATTATTTAATAAGCTGTATCAACTACAGACATTATTAAACATAAAAATAAGTTTTATACCAGTGTGATATTTGTGTGTCCAAACAGGTTCAATATATGCAGTACCAAGGCTCCCTTCATGCGAAGTTGTACCAGGAGATTGAAGTGGCAAGTGTTGATGCATTCCAAGGCAGAGAGAAGGATTTAATTATTATGTCATGTGTCCGTTCCAATGAACATCAAGGGATTGGCTTCCTCAATGATCCACGGCGTCTCAATGTGGCACTGACCCGTTCCAAATATGGCATTATTATTGTTGGAAATCCCAAAGTTCTGTCCAAGGTATGGTGAATGTGATATTTCTCATAAGAAGACAGTGTGAGATAATGTTATGCATGTACAGTTAATAATGTCTTATAAGTTACTGCATGCTTTTGATTATCTCATCTAATAGATGGGAGGGGAAGCTCAGTCTGATAAAAACATGCATATGAATTCACATGAACAAGAAGTATTTAATAATGTTTGAAAGAATGATACTATTTGGAACACCCTGTGTTGCATACAAAAATCTGCCCATGTATAAATCCTATGATTCTGAAGAAATTTTTCTCACTTATAAATTTTCCCGGAGTAAAGCGCGGCCAGTGCGTAAGGGTGACAACCTTACCGCCATCTTTGAGCCAATTGTCTAGATCAGCGATGGCCAACTGGCGGCCCGCGGGCCAGATATGGCCCGCGACCTGATTTACTCCGGCCCCCCGCCAAGTCTCAGGTTTATTTTCAAAAATCTTAACTTCACAGCTGTATGGACATAGCATTCAGTTTTTAATAGGACATTTCATTAGCTTACAGCATTTTGCAATTGACTTTATACGTTCTTACCGAGTTGGACAGTTCAGACTGTTTTCTAATAACTGTGTTCATGTCATGGAAATTCCAAGTCCCCCAACCCTACTTCTGTAGGGAGATGACACTGAAGGGAAGACCGTAGTGGTGAAGGATTTATGACACCTTCAAAATAATAACCATTCCCAGCTTGCTCGCAGGGATTGGATGTTTACCGTTTCTCTCGGCATCCTGGCCTTTGTTAAGTGCCAGTTTTAGCAGAAATGTCTCCTAGTTAGTGCAATTTTAGAAAGTGAAGTGTGATTACGGAGTGTGAGTGTAGAACTGTTTTTCAATTAAAATTGTGTTTGAAGTTATTGTAAGTGATACAGCATGTCAAATAGTAAATTGAGAAAAGTTGATAGTGAAAATAGGGCGTTCAAATCTGAGTGGGAACATGACTATTTTTTTTATATTAAATAAAGACCACAAGCCACAGTGTTTAGTATGTTTTCAAGTGCTAGCAGTTTTAAAGGAGTACAACCTAAAGAGGCATTACATGACAAATCATAAACAGAAGTTCGGAAAACACTCTTGTGAATCAAGGAAAGTAGTCTGCGATCAGTTAAAGAAAAAACTTTTCCAGCAGAAATCTCTTTTTACCAATGAAACAAAACAACAAGAAGAAGCTTTGCTGGCTTCTTATTTCGTGACATATGAATTAATGAAAGCTAAAAAAGCGTTAAGTGATGGTGAATTAATTAAGAACTGTGCGATAAAGATGGCAGAAGCTTTCAATGAAAATAAGGTAGGAAACAAATTTCAAACAGTGCCCCTTTCAAAACAGACTGTTACTAGGAGGCTGGAAGATATTAGCAACCAGATATCTAATAATGTGAAAGACATTATCGCTAATTGTTCCTATTTCTCAATTGCTCTCGACGAAAGCACAGATGTTTCGGATACTAATCAGTTGCTGATATTTGTTCGTGCAATTAAGGAAGATTTTACAATTTTCGAAGAGTTGTTAAAAGTGTGCTCTTTACACAGCACAACTAGAGGTGTCGATATTTTTAACGCTGTTAAGAGTGCAGTGGAGGAATTCGGTGGTTTTGAAAAATTGTCCTCCATAGTAACAGATGGCGCTAAATCAATGACAGGGACAATAAGCGGTTTTGTTGGATTTTTAAGACAGAATCAAATTACTGTACCTACCTTGCATTGTATTATACATCAGGAGGCTCTATGTGCCAAATCAATTAAACTGTCTACCACCATGGCTACTGTCACAAAAATTACTAATTTGATCAGAGGAGGAAATCGATCACTCACTCACAGAAAATTTCTGACCCTCTTGGAAGAAATGGATTCTGCTTACGGGGACCTGCTTCTGCACACTGAAGTAAGATGGTTAAGCCGTGGGAAATGTCTGGTACGGTTCTTTGAACTCCGTCATGAAATAGCAACATTCCTAAGAGAAGAGGTTACGAATTCTGCTGAACTGCAGAATGATCTCGAAGACGTCGAATTCTTGAGAAACTTGGCCTTTCTCACCGATATCACTCAACACTTGAATGCCCTGAATCTGCAATTGCAAGGCAAGAAGCAGACAATATGTCAGATGGTTGGCTTTGTTGACAGTTTCCGTAAAAAGCTACATTTATTTAAGTCTGCATTGGACAAAAATAACCTTCTACATTTCCCTTGCTGTCGGAAACTCTCAGAAGAAGAAGGCTTGGAGTTTAGGGACTACACTGAAATTATTGAAGATTTGTCTTCAGAGTTCGACCGACGATTTAACGATTTTGAAAGCTTTCGACCTGATATTTCTTTATTCAGTAATCCTATACATTGTGATATAGAATCTCAGCCAGGTCATCTGCAATTAGAGCTTTGTGAACTTCAATGTGACCCATCCTTAAACACATCTCAGGTTACTGGAATTGACTTTTGGAAACTGCTTTCACCAGAACGTTACCCACTGTTAACGAAATTGGGCTCTCAAACTTTGCTCTGTTTTTGCAAGTACTTACATATGCGAGACAGCGTTTTCATCGCTGAAGCATGTAAAGTCTAAGAACAGGAACAGACTTTCAGATGTCGTGTTATCACATATTCTTCGAGTGGCAACCTCACAATTAGAAGTGGATTTTATATCATTGGTTTCCAGTTTTATGAAACCACAGTGCTCTCATTAAAACAGTGTGTATATGAGGATTTAGGTATAATCATTAGACCATAAAACTATGATTGAAAGCCTTTTGTGCTCATCCCTGCTGAAAGAGGAATTTATGCTGTTTTATGGTAAATAATTGCAAATTTCAAGGCATTTTATTTTTCTTTCCTAAATTATAATTGTATTTTTCCCCGGCATATATAAAACTAAACATAAGGCATGATCTGGCCAGTGTTTCTTTAAGAAAAAATGCTCTGGGAGTAGAAGTGATAGAAGGCAATAAAATCGATTGGTGAAATTTTCAATATCGGCTTAATATTATTGGTGCAACGTAAAATTTAAATACATAGGTTTAAATGCACTTGTTTTTACACGGGTTGTGACTGATTCAGTTTGGGGGACAATACTCCCCGACCACTCTTCTGAAAGAAACACTGTATCTGGCCCCTGATGGTGTTCTATAAACTAAATTTGGCCCTCGAGATGTATTAGGTTGGCCAACGCTGGTCTAGATAATGTGGGACCCTCAAAAGTCTCACAACCCTATGGGCCTTCATGCCCTGTTACAGGGATAGCTTTACTTTACTTCCCCCCCCATTTTGTTGAGAAAATGTTCTGGTTGTCATGATACCCAACATGCCAGCTGCCATACAGAGACTCCATTTGCTGACATTGTCAAGAAATGAATAGAGAACAAGATTTCAAATCTGACACTGCATAAAAATGAGTTTCCTGTGTTCTGATAGATGCTGTCTGAGAGTAACAAACTTATTGACTGAGAACAACAGAAGCAGAATACTTCCTTCCCATTGTGAATGTGTTAATTCTGTCATGCTTGATGCAGTGCTGACACAGGATTACCATAACTGGAGTCTGAAAAGTGATACTTGTCAGAATTCTGGGTTTGATGATAAATTCTGAGAATATACAAATTACATTTTTGCCACTGGCATAAATGCCAATAAACCTAACATATCTGAGGACTTTATGAATGCTGTGGACATAGGGAGACATTAGGAATTTCAGGAACTTTGTAAGTTTAATCAGAAGGTTCTTTTTGTGTTCAAAACATAACATGTCATAAATTTGCATTATTACATGTTTGCTCTGATTTGCAGCAACCATTATGGAATCACTTGCTGAACTTCTACAAGGAACAAAAAGTTCTAGTAGAAGGACCACTGAACAACTTGAAAGAGTCTTTGATCCAGTTCTCAAAGCCCAAGAAGCTTATAAATACAGCTAATCCTGGAACCCACTTCATGTCCACATCAGTGTATGATGCACGAGAGGCACTGGTCCCAGGCAGTGTGTATGACCGCACAGGACATATGAATGGCACAGCTGTACCATCTCACTTCTTCCCCAGACCAAGTAAGTCATTACTTTTACTACTAAAATTAACTTATTTATTATATTGTATGTGTTTATCAGTATTTTATACAAATGTGTATGCTATTGGATGACAGCTGTAATCCTTAGTTGTGACTGTAACTAGGACGATCTCCACATCCGCGTGAGAATGTACTCTCAACAGGATTTATGGAAGGTGAATAAATGAAAGGAAATGAAAATGAAAATGAAAGTATTGATCTCAGGAAGAGATTTCATAAATGGGCAGTGAACAAATGGAACTGCATGAAAGATGTTTAAGATCCCATGTAATAATGTAGTCATTGTAATGAAATTATTTGAGTGTAGTAAGGAATGTCATAGTTAACACAGACTGCAGTGAAGTTTTGAGAAAAGCAAAGTTAAAAAAATGTTAATTTAATAAACTCTTTTCATTCTTCCAGTTTGTGTGAAGCTTAAGAATGGAAAGAGCTTTACCTTCACTATTCAGTTTTTTGAGTAAATATGTGGTACTTATTGTTTTCGTTACAGAATTCATGAGAAGTATGAAATGTGATGCTCATGAGAGTAAGATTTTTAATACAGTTATTGTGTTTTTGGACACTATTGATCATCTGGTATTTATTTAAAACAATGTTTCACTGACTAGATTCTCTCTCTGTCCTCAAGTAATGGCCTACTCACTTGGGTTTAATTGATAGAGCTAGTCCCTGTCTCCAGATGTAGCTCTGTCGATTGAGCCAAGTGAGTTCGCTTTTACCTCGGGATGGAGGCAGAATTCAGTCTCCGAAATGTTTTAAATAAAAAACAGGATGATAGAATAATGTCCAGAAACACAATAATCATATTAATATACTATCATCACAGATTTTAAAGGTTTTAATGTAGCAGCAGGTAATAATCTAAGCTCCTTATCATATATGCTTCCATGAAAATGTATTTGAAATTCACTGAATGTACATTTTTGTTCATACCATTGAACCTCCTGGTTATCTAATCATTCACAGGCTATTCCTGTATCCATAGTATGTAAATAGGTGACTTTATGACTACTACCTTTTTGATAATAACTTACTGAATTTGTTATCTGTGTAAGCTTATGTGACTTGGGAAAGAATTTCATGTATACAAGACTTTGGTTTTCCAGTTCATCAGCTGGAATGAGTAAGAAGTGAGCAGTTACTCAGAGTAATCTCCTGCTCTTCCATCTCCCTTCTTTCCCAGCCTGAAAATTCTTAAATATTTCTCCTTTAGCCTGAAGGTTTCCTAATAGTAATTTGCAAGCTTTACTTGCCCTCACATAGATAGTGGAGGTGTTGCAGTGGATCTGTATGCCCGGACTCATGATCCGATCAGTTACATCTCACCAGAGAGAGCACAGGCTGCACTGTCCAATCTTCCTGTTCCTGTTGGGATGTTTATGAATATGGCACACGTCCCACCCCGCTTTTATAATCAACATCAGCAGGCATTGCAAGGTAAGGGGTTCATGATAGGTTGTATGTAATCAAATAAGATCTAAAAGTTTGTGATGATGGTAAATTGTTACAATTAATACTTTGCTGGACATTATCCATCATCTTGTCTATTCTAAAAAACAGTCTAGTTTCTATTAAAAAACAACGTTTCGAGAACTGGAATCTGTCCCCGTCTTCAGGTAAAACCTACTCAGTTGGGTCCAATAGACAGAGCTAGCCCCTATCTCCGGACCTATCCGGAGATCTCCGGAATTGCTTGAATTTAAGCACAGTAGATATATGATGTGAAAGAGCAATCTTTGTTAGACTTCATTAAGTTGCTGTTTTCTGCATTCAATATAAAATGTTGATTATATGTAATACTGTGTACAGTTGTATTTCATAGTGGAACAAAAGAATACACTTCTGAAGTGGGAGCGTATATGCTACAGACTTCACTTTTGGAAAGACATATTTTTTTCCACATACATCAAAGTCCACGATTCCACCACCGCTTCTGACAGTCTTGTTTCTGTGTGTAAACATACAGTCTCATCTTTGCTGATCACTGATTGACAGAAGTGATCGATATCTTAAGTCTAACCACTTTTTGCCCAGCAGTAAAGCCTAAAAGATGCGGTCCTTAATCATGCAGTGCTATTGCAGGCCAATTCCATATTTGCTGAAAATTTATTTTTTCTTTAAACCAATAAACAAAGACAGCTGACAGAGTAACATATCATAGGCTGTCTGTTTCTCATAATTTATCAGACCCATTCCATTATTGAGTAGCTGCCAATGGGGTAGAACAAATCTTAGTGGGTTTGAATGCATTCCAGGGTTCATACTTCCTGCAAACCCAGGTGAAATTCACCCAATAGTTTGGCCTAGTGGTGATCCTTGAGCCCTACATTGGGGTGGTGCTCAGGTTGAATCTCAGCCAGGACACCAGCTAACCCAGCTTAGGTTTCTATAGTTTTCCTCAGCCCCTCTCAAAATGCTAGAATAGAACCTTAGTTGGACCATGACCACTTCCTTCCAAATGCATTCCAGTTCATAAATCATCTAATCATCCAATGCTATATGGTCTTAGTACTGACACTGTTGTAAAATAACCCACTAAAAAGAAGTGTAATTCATTGCTTGCCACAGCATAGGTAGCAGCTTTGTCCCTCTATAAATTGTGAGAAAAGTATAAATTTCTCTGCTTATACATTTTACAGACACTGTCCAGGACAGACTAAAGTGTGCTGTAATAGATTTATGTACCAGTATTTACACAGCTTTAGTATTTATCTATGGTAACACTTCAGTATTATACTTAAAAACATATTAAATTCTAATATTGTTTGATTTAGCACGTCAGAACCAGCGAAATCGTGCTGCAACTCGCAGTAAGGTCAAGAATAATCGCAGTAATCCAGTTAAGAATAACTTGATGCCTGGACAAAACAGTCAAGATGCCACTCAACCATACAGTCCACTCACACAGGGAATGTCTCAGGTAAGAGTGCTGCAGTGCTACATATTCTTTACATTATGACACACAAGATGAGCATGCTGATATTGTAGGTCCCCTAACTGTGTAGTATGATCTCTTCTCGGGAGTAAAACAGTGGAACATTTGAAGCTGACCACTCACCCCCATCTAATACTGAGGTTAGGGAGGCATGGATCTTTACTTCTGCCCCCTCTGTATGCTTCGTGGCATGATACACAGGCAAAGTGGGAAACTTTTTACCTTTATATTTATTTATATTGAAACCCACAAGAAGCAGGTTGAAGGTGCATATAGATATCTCATGATTGTGACTATAAGGTTGACTGCCTTCTGGAATGTGATGCTCTGTGTGCGCATGCGGGTGGATGGTGTGGTTTATTGCAAGAAGTGGTTTGTGTATTAAAAGAAGTCAGGTAGGATATTGAAGAAGCTATCCTTGTAACAGGCCATGGAGGCCCATGGGGCTGTGAGACATTGAGGCTTCCACATTTTCTAGACAACCAGCTCACAGATGGCAGTGAGGTTGTGAGTACCAAGAATCTCCCTGGGGGTAAAGGGCAGCCAGTATGTAAGGTTGACACCCTCACTGCCATCTGTGAGCCAGTGGTCTAGAAGCTTTTATGTCTCACAACCCTGTGGGCCTCCATGGCCTGTTACAGTCAGGATATTACATCCTGGAAAATAAAAGGCTGTAGGGGAAACAAATGGAAAACAGTACTTTTGCATTGAAAGATACACTACCACAGTCAATAAGTCTGTGGAATGACCGCAAAGCGTCATACAGGAATTTACCGTCAATATGTTTCAGCAGTGTTTTTGACAGCTATATCAACGTTGGCACACTTTCATAGTGGCCAACGGCAACTATTTTGAGGGCCGATGTGGATCTGCGTAAGTGTATGTGAATACCTTGTAATATGATGCGATAAAACCACATTCCACGAACTTAATGACTCTACCACGTATATTATGTGCACTTATATTCAACATGTGGGGCGTGAAGTTGACCATTCGCCTCCATCTAGTGCTGAGGTCAAGAAAATGTGGATCTATACATCCACTCCCCCATATGTCTTCATAGCATAGTGCTTAATGAATTAAGCACAGGGACAACTTTACCTTTTTACCTTTATAAATATAGTGCTTCTTGTATATGCTGATGTAGTGTAGTTGATTGAGGCACTATGCTACAAGCCAGAAGGTCGCAGGTTCAAGTCCCAATGAGGTCATTGGGTTTTTTTTTTCCGATTGACCTAATCCTTCCAGCCGTACTATGACCCTGGGGTCAACTCAGCCTCTAACAGAAATGAGTACCAGGAATATTCTTGGGGGTAAAGGGTGGCCAGCACGTAGGGCTGACAGCCTTGCTGCCATCTATGAGCCAATTGTCTGTAAAATGTGGGAACCTCAACATCTCATAACCCTGTGGGCCTCCAGAGCCTGTTACAGATATACCTTTACTTACTCTTTTATTACCGAACCAACAGAAATAACAAAGCTTAATATTTTCACAACCCTAAATAAGTTTTACAATGTGAATTGTATCTTGTGGTCTTAAAAGGGATTCATCTGCATTGTTTTAAAGTAAACATTTGAATGATCTGCATGTAATTTCATTATGTCCGTAATATGTTATAGTTCTACAACACAAGGAAATGTGAAAAGTTCTATCTTCTGGGATATAATAGTGGTGTAATCCAGTGAAAGTCAACCAGTGTTTCAGAGGAACATGTTGCTTCCATCTTCCTCCATGTTGGTGTTTTGCTTTGTTAGTTTTCAGCCCAGAAAATCAAGAGGAAGTGTTCCTCTGAAATATTGATTGGCTTGCACTGGACTACATAGTGTTATATCCCAGAAAATAGAACTCTTTGCAGCAGCTGCTGTGAAAACCTCAGATCCAGCAAGAGAATGTGAGGTTGAGCTATGCATTTATTTTCCTCCTGTTTTCGTTACAGAGCATGTCTCAGCCTGGATTCAGTTTATCTCAGCCTGGTCTTTCCCAGCCTGAACTGTCTCAGGACAGCTATATGGTGGGCGAGTATCAGTCACAGATGGATGGACTCCTCTCTCAAGATTCTACGTATCAGGGAGATCGCTCGGCTTTCTACCCGGGCCCATCACAGGGAGGGCAGTTCTCTCAGGTGAGGTGAAATATCTTGGTACTACGATGAGCTTCCAAAGAACTTGTAATAAACCATTAGGACATGAGGGAATATTCATGTATATGTGTGGCAAGCATACATTACTGCATTACTAAGCAGTTATTGCCCCTGCCAAAAGCACAGCATTCTGAGGCTTGTCAGGCTGGGTCTGAAAGCCACAGGAGTCTACAAAGTCCCATGGGAATGCAGGGCCATCTGCATTGGTGAGATGGGTCAGAGGAAGTGAAGCAACATTGTGCTTGCAGAGCACTTGGATGTATGACTGCATGGGATTACCAGTTGCTGATTGTTGGTGCAGTCAGTGGCCTATAAAGGAGCTGTTGTTCCCCTGTCCCCCAACATTTCCTATCTGCTATTCCTGTTGGCCCAGACTGGGTACCATCACCTATCTCCTGTGGGTTAGTTTGTCCAAATCCTATATACATGAACACTCATTCATCCTGCTTACTTAAACGTTGAAGATTAAGGCAGCATGGGCTTCTGAAGTATTGGCAACATTGCTCACATCAACACCATGCAAACAAACAGAATCAGCATCATCATACAGAGTTGCTTAATATATGCCTCTTGACACACTAATTGTACTCCAACTAAGATACATGTACTCTGATCCACAGCCATACTGAGCAAATGGGCGGTGACTGGTTCGCGGAGCGTCGCGGGAGCGGCACGACACGATGGAACAACCCGGGCCAGCGAGGGGCGACATCTGACCCGGCCTGCATGGAAACGAATCAAATCAGCCAGCATGCCAGTAAGTAGCTGCTGCAGTAAAAGCAGGATGAGGCAGGACAATCGCTACCCACCGGAACCGGAAACCGACCCCGGAGAGGAGGAGAACAGAAGATCTACCAGACAACTGCAGCAAGACTAATGCATATCTTAGCACATGCTGCCAAGCAACGCTAAAAACAAACAGTAACAACTCCACACTTCCATAAGTGGCTGCAATGCAGGAAGCCAGGCTGCAGTTAGGCTACAGTTTACGACTGGTAGCTTTTAATGAATATGTTAGAAAGATTGGCTTTGTTACATGGAATTGGAAAATCAGTTGAGTATGTCTACTTTTACAAGGGTCTTACCACAAAGTCTTTTTGACACATTACCATCCATAAGAGTAAGGTTAAAATTACTGAAACTTCAGTTGTAAATGTTTATTTCTGTGTATCTGTTTATTATAATATAATCTTTGATTGGTAAGAACATGAGTTGATGGATTGGATTTTGTTAATTTCACTCTTTTAATTAATTTGGCGTGGGTGGTTTATAAAAGAATTCTGGTTATCCAAGTCAACATTTTATCAACAGCCCTCGTTGATATTTTAAAATGTTGTTAGTACTACAAAACTGACAATATTAGAATGGAACTGAACCCAATTAATGGTAATATGAATAGTGTAACTGTTTTCAAGATATATTTTGGCATCTATGCCATTTTTCCATAATATCTTTATATGGAACAGTGAGCATTATCCCCTCGCACCTTCCCTATGTTGGTGTATGCACGCATCTCCACACATGCGCTTGTATATCACATGATGAATAAATAATTGTATAGTATTTTTATACCGCAGAAGTATAAATGAGATTTGTGGGAAGATTCCATTCATTTTTATTGTATACTGTTTAAATTTAAATGCTGCTCTTCCGTTTTCAAGAAGCTAATGTTCATTACATGTGCTAAATACCACATTAAACTGATACCTTAAATATAGGAAATGCCTTTAATTCTAAGCAATTAGGTTTAATTTTATAATTTACTTTATTGTACTCCAAGGGAAATTTGTTGCATGAATGACCAATTACAGGGTTTTGATGAGGTTGTTGACATTATTCGTACTTCTTAACAGGCTCACTGTTACACGGAATGAAAATGTGACAGGACATTGAACTGCACTGGCTTTCTTGGCACCTTTGCATATGAAACTTCAACAGTAATCTTTTCTGGTCACTTTTCGTTTGGAATGTTTCAGTTTTCTTGGATATGTTTTGGGTTCCATTTGGGTATTAAACAGTGACTTGGATAAGCAAAGTTCAGTAGTGTGATATTTCATTGTATTTGTTCAATACAAATATATCGTAGTCTTGTTTCTGATGAGAATGATGGAAGTACACAGAATATAAATTTTATTTTGGGGACAGGGTAGACATTTAATTTGAATCAAATCAGTTTGCTTATTTAGGGCATAATTACACCATTAAAAAATGTGTTGCCTTTTCTTACATTACCTTTTAAAAATTCAATTGAAATTTATTTTTTGTAACACTTTCTGATATATCAGTTCTGCAAAACTTCTGTATTTACTTTGCATTATACCACTTATTGAAATTTTTTTTTTTTCAGTTTGTCTACATATTTTGCCACTGCAGTACTTATTTTTCTTCCTTAACCTTAGAAATGGTTTAAAAATTAACTCCTTTCAGGGTTGGCATCACTTAACTGATAGTATTTGCTAATTATATATGTGTTGTATAAAAGAAATACTCTCTCTTTTGTTTCAAAATGGAAGTGTTCTGTATTACTTTTGGTTCAACATGGAGATATTTGGTTGTAATTTATGGTTTCATAATTCAGTATCCTTACCTCCTTTTGCTTATGCTGTGGTGCTGATTATTATATATACATTCATTTGAATACCATGATTTACTTTGCCTTCCACTATACTTATTTAATACCATTATTTAATTTATCATGAACATTTTCTGATGATACTGTTGTGCTAATTTACAGCACTACACTTATTTAAATATTACACATACTTTATTTTTCTGAAATGTATGTTTCAACAATAAGGTGTGCAGAAGAGTTCTTTCTTCTGTGATATAACACCATGTAGCCCATTGGAAGTCAACCAGTGTTTCAAAGAAACAAGTCTCTTCCAAAACATCAGTTTCACCTTCAACAAACTACAGTGTTATATCCTAGAAGATAGAACTTTCCATAACAATTGCTGTGAGAACCTCAAATCCACAAAATGTTTTGAACAAGCATCATGATATACTAACTACAGTATGCATTTCTTTGAAAGGATTCAAAGAGATGTGGAAAGAAATTAACTGAATGCACTTGCAATCTTTACCCAAGTCTGTACTTAATGGCATTGCTGTTTCTGACGGGAAAGAAAGACTAAATACTGTACTTACTATAATAATATATGACATCCCCCCTTCCCATAGAAACATTGAAGAAGTAATTTTTACTTTACAGATAAAGTTTGTAGGTAAATTCTCCACCACGAACATAACCATTTTCTCCATCTCTTCATATAGGCCTGTTTTAGGCCCACAGTATGTTTTTCAGGCAAAACCTTCACGTAGTGATTATTCTGCCTTCTTGGCATCACAACACATTTGCCCCAGATGTCATTAGTCTCTTTGGTGTACCTAATAAAAAAAACCTCCATGGCTATAGTCCGCAAGCAAACTATATTGAGGTGACCACCGCTTGTCAGTGAAGTTAGTGCCAAAAATTGACATATGCATTCACAGGTATGAAGCACTCTGCATTTCAGCAGCTTCTTCCACTACTTGGCCTTCCATAATTATATTACATGATTAAACTTTTGTTGAGGGGGTTCATTTATTATAAACTTCCTGAAAAAATAGAATTCCTGCACTGAATAACATCACTTACACATAAAATTTCAGTATTAGCACTTATCCAGTTATGTGGGTTCCCTGCCACAACAGCATGGCACATCCTCAGGTTGCAGATGAAGGAGACAGCCTCCAGACATGGAGGGCAGCTGCGAATGTATAGAACAGGCAGTCATGAACGGCCAACAAGGTGTGGTCCTCCAGCTTGGGGGTTGGGTGTGGGACTGACAACTCCTTGCTTGTTACGAAATGTCACAAAGGGCCTCAGACCTGGACAGATTCTTTGGATAAATGACCTAAGCTAAGGAAAATGGACACGAGATTAGGTATTTGGAATGTAAGAAGTCTGTATAGGTCAGGTTTGCTCATGAGGTGGTCAGATGGGACAGAGGTGGCACCAAACCAGCAGGTGAATATACATTTTCCTATGGAAAGGGGAATGAGAATCATGAAATACATAACAGGATTTTTTGTACATAAGTGTCATATCAGCAGTAGAGTCGTTAGTGATGGGATGTTGTACATAATACTATGAGGTTGCTGGTGTGATATCGTTCTGAACATTCATGTCCCAGCAGAGGATAAAATAAATGATATGGAAGACAGCTTCTGCAAGGAACTAGAACATGTATTCAATAAATTCCATAACTATCACATAAAAATTTGTTAGGAAATTTCAATGCCAAAGTAGGGAGGGAAGACATTTTCAAACCAACAATTGGGGATGAGAGTTTATGTGAAATTAGTAATGATAATGAAATTACAGGAGTAACCTTTGCCACATTAAAAAATCTGCAAGTTCCCACACTGTAACATTCATAAAAATACTTGCAAAAACTCACAATCAAACTGATCATATTTTGATAGATAGGAGATGGCATTCAGGCATACTTGATGTCCAGTCGTTTGGGGCAGCGGATTGTAATACCACTATCTGGTGGTGGCAAAAGTTAGGGAGAGGCTGATAGTGAGTAAGCAAACAATGTACAGATTTCATATGGAGAGGTTCAGTCTCAAGGAATTAAACGAGGTAAAGCGTAAAGAGCAGTATCGTGTCGAAATCTTAAGACACTGCAGTGGATATTAATAGAGCTTGAGAAACTATTAGAATATAAAAATTTCAGCCAAAGAGAGTCTAGTCTGTTATGAATTGAAGATGCATAAGGCATGGTTCAATTAAAAATGCTCAGAAGTATTAGATCAAAGGAAACAAGCCAAATTCAGTGATAACAGGATCAAACTGAAATAAATGGGGATAATCTGAACAATACAAGACGTGAAGCCAGCACGCATTTCAGGAATAAAATGCAGAATATCTGACAGACAGAGTTAAAGAGCTTGTAACAAAGAGAACAAGAACATTTGAATTTAAGAGGGGTTACCAGCCTAGAAGTAATTTAGTGAAGGATGAGAATGGTGATCTGCTTGCAGATTCCCACAGCATTTTGAATAGGTAGAAGTATTACTCTCAGTTATTGAATGTACGTATCGTCAGTGATGTTAGGCAGATAAAAATACATACAGCTGAGCCATTATCAGATCTACCTTCTTGAGGTATCTGTTCTGAAACATGTTATATGCACAGCATTTTTATTATACCAGGAAGTTCTTACCATTCTTGACCAGTTCACGGTGACCACCAGCTGCAAGTAGCATACGAATTTTGCTGATGAATCAATATGCCTGAGGGCCAATAACATTTGTAATTAAGGGAAATTATTAACTTTGTGGATCACTTGACATCTTTATGTTTCATGGCGAGCAGTGCAGTTCATGCATGGGAATTTGTTTGAGTTATCAGCTCCATTATCTGTTTGTTCTCAGTTGCAATCAGTGAGTCATGCATAGGAATTTGTTTGATTTGTCAGCAGTGGGTGGCAGTTATCAGCTCCATTATCTGTTTGTTCTCAGTTGCAATCAGTGAGCAGTGTGTTATGTCATGGTGAAGTATATTTTAGAGTAACCTGTATTTCTGTATGACACCTATGTGTAATATATACAGGGTGTTTCACGACTTTAGGGCATAACTGCAGGAGTGATTTCCTAGGTCTTTGTGATCAAAAAGTTCATATAAACATGTGTCCGATTTTGGACGGTTACGGAGTTATGACCGTTTTAAACTCAGAATAGAAGGTAACAATTACTGACAATAAATGGAACAAAATAATAAACCAGCATAATACATGATACATTTAAAGTATGAATGTAAAGTTAACTTCGTGAAATTACCTTTAATTTGAATTTACTGGTGCTTAAAGCTGATTTTCAAAAATGCCACCACCGGCCGCAACACAGGCTACCGCTCAGTTGTGAATCGCACCGGACATACCAACCCACCCTGCCTTACGTAGCTCTCAAGTGTCAAGATAACGAGAACACTCTGTCTGTAGCTGGCTAAAGATAGCAACCCGCCAGCTCACAAGACGCAGTTCACACGAGGGCATGTACAGCAATGAAAAAATGGTCATAACTCCGTAACCGTCCAAAATCGGACACATGTTTATATGAACTTTTTTGATCATAAAGACCTAGGAAATTACCTCCTGCAGTTATGCCCTAAAGTCGTGAAACACCCTGTATCTGCTAGAAAGTGTTGGCAAACATTTTGACGTAAATTTCATGACAAAAGAGTTTCCAGCAGACAATTCACAATTTGGTGAATAAATGTAGATCAATGGGATGCTTAATAGACAAGAAACAAAAACATAATTGCCAAATGCTTACTGAGGAGAAGTTAGATGACATAGGAGCCAGACATGAACATGCAACTAGAAAATCACTGAAATGTCTAGCTCAAGAGACTGGAGTGTTAAAGTATTGTAGCGTGTTTTGTGTGTCACACTACAAATAAGTTTACGCCGTGGTATTTGATATAGCAGATTTATTCCAGTCGCTCACCTTACACACTTTACAATCATTACCACTTGCAGTGTTACAATCACTGCTTACACAATGTCTCGGCCAATACTGGACTGCTTTCTTCGGTGGCTTATAACAGACTAACTGTGCGAATGCATTCAACCCCGCTTTATAACCTCGGTTGCTGCTATGCAACGAACCCTCTGTTATAACCGTGGAGACCTGTTAGAACTACAATAGAGCGATTGTTGTTTCCTATGCAACGGACTATTCTAGCGTAACAGTAATCCACGCAATCCAGGTAGCAGGCTTCGTTTTCTCAGTTGGTTTCTACAGTCTGTTGTCAAAGGTGAGATCAATCCGCAGTTAACGTTCTTTTCTGATGGAGCATGGTTTCACATGAAGGGAAACATAAATACACAAAATAAGCACTACTGGAGTTCACAGAATCCACATCTAACCCACGAAGTCCTGCTTCATCCAGTGAAAGTCGGTATCTGGTGTGTTCTAAGTGCAAGGATTGTTGGACCTGTGTTTTCTAACGAAATGATTGTGAAAGATATGTACATGTCATTCTGTGGCAGTTATATCCAGAGTTAACAAAATATGGAGGACTTTATGGCTGATTTCAGCAAGATTTAACTACTGCCCACACGGCTGATTTATCTATGCACGCTTTGTCTGATGTCTTCTTGGACAGAATTATGAGCAGTGGTATTTGGCCAGCACATTCACCCAATCTCATTCCTTGTAATTTTTTCTTTTGGTGTTTTTTGAAGGACAAAATTTACAACAGTAATCTTAGAATGGACGAACTAAAAAAGTATTCATAGGGAAATCATGAATATTCCCATAGAACAGCTTCAAGCAGCAAATCAGAACTATGCTGGTGCTCGGAATGTTTACATGTAGAGGGACATCATTTTCAACACCACCTATGATCTGTAAATTGTAACTACTTCGTTCCAAACATTACTGATCAACAGGCATAGTGATTCATCAGCAAAATTCATATCCGCCTCATAGCCAGTAGTGCATAGATTGCCGTGAAGTACGGTGCCATGAACTGGTCAACAAAGGTAAGAACTTCATACATACATACATATACATTTGTGTTTCTTTAAAATATTCATAAATGTGCCACCGGCACCGAATATAAAACATGTCAACAAGCAAACAAAACATTGGACACTTATACATTCACAAATAAAATCACTAGCATATATAATCCATATTTGTCAAAAACACATACAATAGTTAAAAGGCAATACAAATTGCAGCAAGTATATATAAGCACAGCCAAGGACATAGTGTTTAGTGAAGTATGCACTGTCAGACACATCTTTTCCTTAGCTGTAGGTCTTGACAGAAAAGCAAGAATTCCTCAACAGTATAAGAAGGGTTTTGAAGCAATACATCCTTTAGTTTCCCAATAAACTGTTTTTTATTGTGTACTAACTCAATTAAAAAAATCAGGCAAACTATTAAAAAGTTTTACACTCATACAATAGACCCCTTTTTGACTCTTTGTTAGATGTGACTGAGGAACATGTAGGTTTCTAACTTGTCTTGTTGATTTACCATGAATTGTATGATTAAAAGTATAATACCCCAAATTGTTTATCATTAGTATCATTAGAGAGAAAATATATTGAGAGGCCAATGTCAGAATTTTTAGTTTTTTAAAAACTGTTCTACATGATTCTCTGGGTTTCATTCCCATCATTATCCTGATGGCCTTCTTTTGTAAAAGAAAAATCTTCTTAGCCCCAAAATACTATCCCATATCTCATAATTGAATGAAAGTATGTGTGGTAAATCATCCTTAGTGTTTCAATATTGCTATACAATTTCATGTTTCTTATTGCAAAGCATGCCTTGCCCAATCTAGACAGCATCAATTCAATCTGTGCCCTCCAATTCAGGGTCTTATCAATTTCAATGCCCAAGAATTTAACATGGGTTTCCTCATGCAATATCTCATCATTAAACTTACATGTACAGACATATTATCTCGATTAATTGTATCAAATTTTAACACTTTAGTTTTTTCGGATTTAGAGACAGGCCATTACATGCAAACCAATGGCTTAAAGAATTCAACACGATGTTAGACCTTACTTGGATTTCATCAAGATCAATGCCTGATACTAATATGCTTGTATCGTCTGCATACAACAATAACTTATTATCAGTATTGAATGTCATTGATATATAAAAGAAACAGCAAGGGACCCAAAATCGAGCCCTGCGGCACTCCATATTCAACAATCTCCCATCCTGAACAACATTTTTCATTCCCATTAGTATACAGTTCCACTCTTTGCCTTCTGTTTCCCAAATATGACTTCAACCATGTTAAAGTTTTACCACCAAGTCCATATGCTGCCAACTTGCTCAAAAGGATGTCATGAACCACATAATCAAAAGCCTTTGTCAAATCACAGAAAATTCCTAATGAATGATGGCATCATTCCAAAGTTTCTAATATATGATTAGTTAGGGCATAGATTGCAGTTTCTATACTTATATTTTCTTTAAATCCAAACTGAGCAGATGAAATTAGATTATTTGTATGTAAGTGCTGTGCTTTATCCTGTTATACATCGCTTTTTCAAATGTGTTGGAGAAGATTATTAACAGTGATATTGGTCTATAATACCTGTACAATGTGATTGGAGAAAACAAGTGAACAGAATATGTGGATTACAGACTTATCTCATGCATATTTCATTATAAAATGTACCTGATAAGCAATCTGAGTCTCAGCTCTAAAAATGGTTTTCAAAGATCTCCAATCTTAGTCTCAGCTCTAAAAATATGATTTTGAAAGATCTCTTTAAATATGAATTACTGTGGAAAGAGTTATAAAATGTTCTCCATTGCCCATTTTTTTTTTTAGTTCTTGAATATTTTCATCAGCACTTTCTTTTTAACCAAAAATACTACTGCTTGTAATAACCAAATATAAAGTACAGTTTTTAAGGATGCCAATATTATTAACATTAGGTATAGACTAAAGGGGGATCATGAAGACATTTTAAGGCCAGTAAAGGGATCTAACTGCTTAATTTATGAAGAGGAGATTTTACTTCTCAAAAATCTTATAATAAATATTTCAGGATTGTGTTAGTGTTATTCCCTCATTCTCACTATCATCATGTTAGTATAGGCACTGGTACAAGATGCAGAACATGATAATAGATTTGGAGTTTTCATAGTGATGACTATGAATAGCGTGGTCTTCCAAATTGTAATACTAAATGATTTTGTGACAGCCTCACAATTGGAGGAACATATCACTTCCACTGGCAGGGTTCATCGTAAAAAAAAACAAGACCTGAAAAAAGAAAGAGGCAGCAAAGTGAGCCAACTTTTGGCTGATGTTTGGATTACTCTTCGACCTGCAGACGGAGGACATACATTCCGATAAGCGGCCTCTGTAGTCTAGGGGTAACGTTCCCACCTCATGACTCAAGGTATGCGGGTTCAAATCCGGCGGAGGTCGTGGAATTTTTAAGGGTGGAAAAATTCAGGGAACAAGTCCTCCGGGAGGGACTTTAAGCCGTGGGTCCCGTGTTGTGGCTTTACGGCACGTAAAAGAACCTCATGTCTCAAGGAGACCTCTGAGCCAAATTGAAGGACATTTCCCGCCCAACAGTAGTCTCTAACGCCTCTGGTAGATGGGGGAAGCATCTACATACCGCTGAGCCAGTAGAGGGCGAACTCGCTGGCACGCACCAGTACCGGTAGGGTATAGAGACTGGTAGAATATCACAGGGGGACGTACAATAGATCAAACTGGTCGCGGTGCATGGGGAAACCCACCCCCTCTAATAATAATAATAATAATAATACGTTCCTCCAAGGCAGGCTTCTTCCGGTTCCGGACTACGCGCCGTTACAACCCAGAAGACCACACTCTTCAAGCTCTTGAACTTGAACATGTCAGTTTCCTGTTTGCTTCTCGATTGAATATCTTACGAATCGTCAAATAAATCAACCATACCAAGAGGTATGATTTGAAAATGTTTGTCTTAACTCTACATTATCACAAAACAACTGTGAAATCAGCTTATTGATACTACAGTGATGGTATACGAGCTTTAAGTTACGTAGTTTCTTCTTCTTCGTCGTCGTCGCTTTTTGCGAGAATCTTGAATGTCAAATACATGATGTGAATCAAACGCTCACAAATCGGTTCACAGGTACTGTTGTCGGATTCTGTTTGTCCAATTTTTTTAATGGGATCAATGGTTGAAGGTGACGAAAGGTACATCAATATTCTACTTAGCCCCGCCGGCCCCGACTGGCCCCGACAGCCCACATCAAGGTTTATAGTCAGGCTGATACAACTTGGAGTCATTTCACACGTGCACACCCAACCACACCCAACTGCCCAGCTTAAGTAGCTAACCACAGTTACGACCGGTTACGATACTTACAGATCACAGCCCCTGGGCCGTTTTTTACACAACGTTCACTACTTCACTAGTTCACTAGATCCCGTACATTTGCCTCCAAAATCCCGGTACCTATCACGGATCTTTACCTACATACCTTACTCACCCCTGCTCTACGTCAAACTACATGGCGCCACATCCAATAAAACTGTAAGCTTAATCTCTGCCTCTGCTAACTTAGCGAAGTATCCGAGAGGTCCGAGAGCAACTGAATCTCGCTGTGATCATTTCATTTGTCTTCTGGTCACTTAAACAGCTGAACATGGCGTCAGTTAGGAACAAGAACGAGTAAGAGGTAAGTTATGAATGACAGCATGTAAAGAACTTCTATTTCTGTCAGAAACACGTGTTCTGGATTTCGACATCAATCGAACATGTCAGTTCCTTGCACGAGAATGTGGCTGTTTTGTCAGTTGAATTTAGATTGCAAATAAATAGCATTAAACCGGCCAAGTCCGGTTAAAATTATTTGTACTAAATCATGGAAACGTGAATATAATATATAATGAGGTATTGACTGAACGTTCCTGCAATAGTTGTTCCTGCATTGGTGTACTTCCCATCACCGTTTTAGTAACCGTACGAAACGACTACAGGCTACTTCATGGTGAGACCAAAATTTACATTCAGTTGCTGTAAAATGTATTTATAGTGGTATATCGACCGATTTTTTTTTTTTTTAGAATTGTTTTCAATTTTTGATATTTTTAAGTAGTTTTTGGGTTATGTTTTACGTGATTATGTTAGGCTTAAGTAGTGGGCGGTGGAAAATTGCTCCCTTCTGGGATCAGATGCGGTATAGGTTGGTAGATGGATACCATCATTTTGAAGAAGCCTGCTGCCTCCGTCTTCAGGGATGCAGCTGGATGAAGCAGGTTCCTCCAGTACATTGGTACCCATCTATTGTAAAAAGCCACATACATCACATCCCAGAAGACTGTAATTTTGTTACTGACTGCCATGAGACCTCATATCTCATATAGGCATTGAAGTTCTCTGATTTTTAATCAGTGGGTGTGTATTGAATGGTCATTGGTAGTTTTAATCAATATTGTTTTTTTAAAGACATTAGTACATAATTGGTTTGAAATCAGTTGTGTTTATTCTGTTCATTGTATTTTTGTGTATGTAGACTACTTGTTATGTTACTTGATTAGTTTTGAAGTTATGTTTAATCAGGAAACAATGACTGTATACGTCTGCTGAATGCAGTAGGCCTGTAATAATAAAAGAAATAGTCATAAGTAACTGTTTACTTCTACTATCCTGTTGTTAATATTTGCATATTTTGCAGGATATATGAAGAATTCTTCAAATTAACTTTGCCATATCAAGAAATAGTGGTCCATAACTTCAGTCTTCATTGTATAAAGGCTGTGATATATACGGGTAGCGGAATAAATGTTACAGGCAGTAGTAACCACAACAGAAATACGACAGAGGAATGCTTTTTGACATTCACTCAAATATAGGATTCAGCCCTGAATTTTAGAATATTCCAACAGAAACTACAGGTTTATTAGTATTTACAGCACAAGTAAATCATCAAGTAAACCAGTTTCTTCTGAACTGGTTATATAAGAACTGAAAACAACCATTATTCATAGTGCCAAGTATTCAATACTTATATTTAATTTTGTTTCCTTTGCATGTGAAGTACATAAAGTGATTCATCATACAAAGGATCAAGATCCAGCATTATATATACTGAGGCAAGAAACTTGTAGCAGTTGTAATACAGAGAAAGGAAGCTACTCCTGGAGAACACTTATGCCAAAGACAGGGTAGTGTCTTACTCTGTTTATGTGTTCTCTTCATACTTTCTGCACTTAGCCCACATTGTGTTCAGTTGAGAACAGACCTGATTGAAAGGCAATGTATCATGCAATGTTCTCACCTCCTATGGTAGTGCATTTTGTTGGACGACAACAGCAGCAGCAACACCGCCATCACAACAGCTACTTAGACACAAATAATAATAATAATAATCAGCAGAACCGTGTTGTACCAAGTAACTGCTACAGTCGAAGTTCCTTTGAGCACACGTACCCTGTGGAGTTATTACAATTAATGGGCCTGGATATGCCTCCAATTCGCAACCGTGGTTATAACAATCATCCTCCTGGGGGAAGAGGAGAGGGAGATTGGAGGGATCGTGGAAATCTTCATGGTTCTGGCCCTCCTTTGATGCCACCTCCTGTTCGCCTGGGTTTCCGCCCTCTGATACACAACTCAACAATGAAAAGGAATTACTGGAACAAAAACAGTGGGAGGTAAATGCTGATGAATCATATCAGAAAATTGAGAGAGAGTGTGTGCATGCATGCATGTGAGATATATATTGCTTTTCTGCATGACCTGACTTCTAGAGTAGCCCTCCACAATAGACCAGTGTTTTCAGTCTACCCTAAAAATAATAGAACTGCAAACCAAACCTTAGAAATCCTTGTGTGAAAGGAATTAAATTGGAACTGTTGGTCAGTAAGTTCTAGAAAATTAATACTGAAGCTATTTTCTGCATTGTAGTAGATATTATTATTCAGAGAAATAGTAAATTTCCTAAATATTCGGAGTCATTCTAAAGGAATGGTTTCTTGTAAGTGCAACAACCATTATTTTATTCTCTGGCAACGTATTGTCACAATTTATTGACTAGACACAGGGTTTGACTTGGTAATTAAATTTATTGCGCACTTATCACTCCTAACTACAGGTAACTATAATAGTTTCATGGAATTACACCCTCTACAAATCACTGTACTGCAGCACCCATGAAATCTACTATGTCTTCATTAGGTGTTGCTAGGCAACGGTTCCCAACAGTGTAGATTCCTCTCCTCTCATGCTTATGTTGTTGCCAGCTGGTTACCATCTCGCATCTAAATTATGATGGCAACTCCTAGGCATGACTGGCTGACTTGACTACTAAATTGCTGCTGTTCCTCATCAGGACAGTGATTCTTGGTCCTGAGCCTCATGGGATCCCTGACCCCAGTTTACCTTCTGATGGCTCCGGAAGCCTTCAGCTCTCTCCCATTTCTTCTGGTTCCACTATTCCGCCTTTCAGGTGTCATGTTATAGTATCTTGAAAACCCAGTTTCACATGGGCATTGGGCATCACACTAAATTAAATAAGCATATGCAAGGATTACTTTTATCCTACATTCCATATTTTGAAACTAGAAGTTCTGGTAAGAACTAATCACCCCCTTTCCTTTGATATGACACGGACCGAATAAAAAACGACAAAAAACAAAACAAAAATCTGCGGTTTTAGTCCTCAAGCAAACACTCCCGCCCGAGCAACTGCCACTTATCAGCAAAGTTAGTAAGGGGATTGGTTGCGCTGACCACGTGACACTCTTTGTCCGCTAAAGTTTGCACATAAAAAACGACACTCCAAAAATTATTCGTTGCAGCGGGAACGTGTTTACCGAGCCATTGCCTGACAAAGATATGGGGATACACAGTCCAGTCAAGTAAATTGCTGCTGACCCTCGCCGGCACAGAGATTCATTGTTCCGCGTCCAACAGAACTCGTGACCATATTTTACTGTCTGACGGCTCTGGTAGCCTTGAGACCAATTCTTCGGCGGTAAGTAAAAAAATAAAGGTATCCCTGTAACGGGCCATGGAGACCCATAGGGTTGTCAGATGTTGAGGTTCCCACATTTTCTAGACAATCGGCTCATAGATGACATTAAGGTTGTCAGCCCTACGCGCCAGCCTCCCTTTACCCCCCAAAATATTCCTGATACTCATTTCTGTTAGAGGCTGAGTCAACCCCAGGGTCATAGTGTGGCTGAAAGGATTAGGCAAATTGAAAAAATCCAGTGACCTCATCGGGATTCAATTCCACGACCTTCCGGCTTGTAGCATAGTGCCTCAACCAAGTACAAAAATTAGGGATACACAGACTCTCCTTGGATACGACGCGGACCATATAGAAAATGACACGTCTAACAATTCTATTGTTGCGTGTATTCGTTGCAGCGGGAACGTTTTTACTGAGCCATTGCCTCGCAGTGATAGGGGGATACACAGACTGATGGGATGAACTTATGAAGTACGCCGTTGAGATGGACTCGGTAGCCGTGATATACATATCAAGTTGCATAAAGATTGGTTCAGACATTCATAAGTTGATTTGGGGGGGGGGAGATCCGTAGGGGCAGAGACAAGGCGATCTCATGCGCCACCTTTCAGTTTTTAAAAAATTAGAAAAGTAAGCTAAAAATAAAAGGCTGTTTATGAGATCACCTTACTGTCTGTGTGCCTCCTGATCTGTGCTACTCAACGGCTAGGTTAACGTATTCACAGGCTCTTGCTACGCAACAGCTAGGTAAACACATTTCTGCCACAACGAGTACACACGCAACAGTAGAAGAATCATTTAACTTGGTGTGATTAATTTTTTCCAGAATTTCTTGTGACTCTCGAAGTATTCTGAATGAGACGCTAGTACCAGCACACGGTAAAGATTTTGCATTCAGGACATGTACGTGGACCGGTTATAAAATAACCGGGCTGATGCTCTAAAATCTGTATCAGCTAATCACAATGGAAATAGCTCCATGCGAATTTTCCACTGTTGGAAGCAATGCTGCAGGTCTTTTTCTGATAGCTTCTTCACTTCGCCTTTGCCTTCACTGCAGCTGTGGACTCGAAACAGGTTCCTTTTATTGCAGACTTGATCTTTGGAAATAAAAAAAGTCACACGGAGCTAAGTCAGAAGAGTAGGGTGCATGCTCCAACACGGAGATCGTGTGCTTCGCCAGAAACGTCTTGACAGACAGTGCGTTGTGTGCTGGCGCGTTGTCATGAAGAATTCATGAGCCCTTCCACATTTCAGGTCTTTTTCTTCTCATCCATTATTGAAGGATTGTAGTAGACATGGTTAACAGTCTGACCTTCAGGCACCCATTCAATGTGAACGATCCCTCGGGGTATCGAAAAAAGGCCATCGTCATTGCTTTGAAATTTGACTTGCTCTTCCGTGTTTTGTTTTTTTTCCTTGGTGACTCTTCCGATGCATAGTTTCTGGGTCATACTGAAAAAAAAACCATGATTCATCACAAGTTATTACATCCTAAAAAGTTTGGATCATTTTCAATGTTTTGAAAGATGTCAGCACAAATGTTCATTCGAGTTTCCTTTTGATTAGGAATGGGGATTCTCGGCAACATTGTCGAGCACACTTTTTTCATGTTAAAATGTTCATGTAAAATCTGCCAAACACTCTTTATCAATGAAGAAAGCAGTCTTCTGGGATTTGGCACCGTGTATATGTGGTGTTAACCGACGTTTCGGAGGAACGTATCACCCCCATCTTCAGGGTTGAAGAAGTATAAGTAAATCTGCAAGCGACAACACCGTGAGACACGGTCAAGCAGACGACTGCTTTCTTCATAGTCACCGCCGTGAAAGCCTCAAATCTTACTCTTTATCAATGTTAGCTAATTCAGGAACTGCTCGAATGCTCAGGCAATAATTTTTTAGCAGTTTCACCGCCTTTTTCAATGTTAGCATCTGTTTTTGATGTGCAAGGCCGACCAGGATGCAAATCGTCTTCGATCTCTCCTCTTTCCTCGTTAAATCTTTTGAACCACTCAAAAACTCAAGAATGAGGTAGACATTCATCACCCCACACTTCCATCAACAAACTGTATGTTTCTGTTAGCGGATTTTCCAAGTTTTGCAGGGAATTGCACATTGACATGTTGCTCTGCTTAACATATTTCTGACGGAGCTCAGATACGCGGTCCGCTTCAAACAAAGGTTGATACCACACTGTTGGCCGTATGTCCTTGGAAGTCTTAGGGCTGATAGAGGAGAGGACAGTCTACTGTGCCAGGAATACAGTCTGCATAGTTTTTCTTTAGACAGATGGTTTTTAAAGAAATTGCATCAGAAACTATTTTGTGAACATTGCTACTGTAGCCACTGGAACAACCACTACCACCCGTGCTTTCTAACTAAGCGACTTGTATTCTAACACTTTGCATCAGAAACTATATAAAAATAATTTACATATATATTGTTACAAATTTGAGTCTACGAAAATGCAAAACGTTAAAACACAGAGACTCACAGTACTTGTTCCCAGCTAAAAAGAAACCGACAGCTTGAACATTCCACTCGTTTCACGACCGAAAGACAAACTGCGTGTGTACGAGTATGTGGTTCGGGTGAGACATGAGCAAGGGAGTAACAGGTGGGTTAAGTGGAGCGTAGTGTCTGGAATGGTGTGACTGAGCTAGTATCAGGTGTTGAATTCCATTTCAGTAACATTAGCCAGTTTATAATTATGCCTGTCGGTTTCCTTCATACTTGGTGTGAACGAAATTCAAGACGAGGGCAGAGGTGTAAAGAAAATAGAGGGTAAGGTAAAGTTGCCCCTGTGCATAACTAATTAAACATTGCTCCATGAAGGCATATTGGGGAGTGGATGTATAGATCCACATTTTCTTGACCTCGGCACTAGCTGGAGGTGAGTGGTCACCTTCACGCCCCAGCCGCTTTCCCCCCAGGAATAGAGTCCCTGGTATCCATTGGGTAGGAGGCTGGGTGGGCCCCAGAGCCGGCATAGACGACGTGGAGAAGGGAAAATTCTTGACCTTACCTGGATTCGAACTCTGACCCCTCAGTCATCCAGCCCATAGCCCGTCGCTATACTGACTACCCTACCCCGGCTTCTAAATAAAATAGGGGGACCTAAAGTAATACACAGGCAAAGTATAGGAATCGTGGTAAGTGTTTACAGTTTTGTGAAAAAACAAAGTGATGAAGGATTAGGTCAATTGGAAAGCCAGTCACCTCATCAGGAATTGAACCCGCGACTTTTGTGACTTGTATCATAGTGCTCAACTAGCTATGCTGCCGCATGGGTAAGGAATTCAGCACACCTCACAGTAACGGGCAAGAATAAAATTTAAAATTGGTGTAGATGGTTTTGGTGACCGAGTGACCACCGCTTGTCGGCGAAGTTAGTGCCAACTTTAGCGGATAGAGGGTGTGGCTTGGTCAGCGCAACGAACCTCAACAGCCGTTAATTTCGGTTCTCTAGACCTGAGCCGCTATTTCCTTGAAATAGCTCCTCAGTTATCCTCATGTGGCTGAGTGGACCCCGTTTGAGACCAACTATTCTCAGAAAATCTGGTAGCGCTGGGAATCCAACCGGGACCTCTGAATCTGTAGCCAGGAACTCTGACCACTAGACCAGTATGGTTCGCCTGCAGACTAAAGTCACAGAGTTTGTTGTTTTATTTGTAGATGGTTTTGGCAAGTGTGTAATTCGAAGAGCAATTAACGAATTTCATGCTACAGAAGGTGAGCGGCCTACTTTAAAATCTTTGTTAGTTTAAGGAAATGATTAACTTCAGTGGTGGAAATTGGGTTCTTTGGAAAATAGATATTAAGATTTGGGCTGCAGGTGGAGGAAATTGGAAAGTGAAAAAAAAAAAAAAGACTCGCCAGAAAGTATATTTGTACAGCAAGGCCAACATATTTGAGAAATATAAATCATTACAGAAATGAGGGGCGCCCTGTCATCTACACAAATGAAACTTTCATGACGGGCAGTTCAGTGGAATAGAAGTTGTGTAAAATATTCACCAGCCACGTGAAGTAATACAATCTGTGTAATCGTTTTTGTGTTTAGTAGTACAGAGGATGTTCTATTCCTACGTGTGCCACAACCACTAGCACACACCATTACGCTCCTCCTTCCACAGTTTTTTTGTACAGCTTGCTTTACAAGGGTTGTGTTTGGAAGGTCACATACATTTTGAGAATCCCTGAACCTAGAGATATTATTAAGTTTAAGTAAACATTGCAGATGACAAAAATAGTTTCTAAAGATGGCAGCCAAGTGGGTTGGCATATTGGTAGTGCTCTATCACTAGATTTTGTAGAAGCTCAATTTTAATACCAGCTGGGACACTAGCTATCCTCATTCAGGTGTGTGATTTTTCTCAGTTCCACAAATAAATTCCATTGCTCATGACCTTAAAGGCACAGAAATGAAAACTAAACTCACTTGAGTAGGTTATATGGTCAAGTCTATGTGACCTACATTTTATAGACATTCATTGAGGGCGCTGTCATTCTGTCTGTATGCAGTCTGTTAGCCCACATGTTATTAAGCAAGTCAAAGGTAACTATGGCCATGGCAGCTCTCATCCTCCCGGGAAGGTCCATCAAAGTAGTATTCAGTATTGGCACATACCCATTATTGATTTATGTCACCCTCACCCCCATAAAAGGGAAAGAGGAAGAAGGTCAGGTGATTGAGGTGGCCAAGTTATAGCCCCACATCTGCCATTCCATTTCTGTGGAAACTTGTGGTTTAAGAAGTCTCCCGACCTTTTTAAAATATGAAGGCACTGCATGGTGTTGGACAACATATCAAGGTACTTAACGTCCATTATTTATCATCCATCAATATTGCAATACTCTTCCATTCACCACTCAATTTTTAGTTTAACATTATACACCTTGATACTACATGTTTCAGCCCCAGACGGCCATCTTCAGGTGTCTTCATATGTTACAATTATTTTATTAAATTGTGTTAAAACTGCTACACTCTCTTAATTCATGTTAAAATCACACGCTGTAGTCCTCTTTTCAAGGTAAAACCAGGTAAAATCCGTTAAAGTTTCTATTATACCCACGTTATTTTGGTACATATTATTTCACATCACACGGGGTGTCGTCCATNCTCACAAATGTATGTTTGTCCAGGGTGTTTTGTCTCGGCAGCTTGCCCCTCACGTTTGTAGCCCACTTTTCAGTTATGACTGCCATATGCCCCTGGTTTGCGTGTTTCCTCCACAGCGTGTGGTGTTGTCCTTACTAGTGTTGCAATATTGACGGATGATAAATAATGGACGTTAAGTTGAACAATTGCGACGGGATGCTGAAATACAGAATCATATCTAGGTACACTATACTGGTCAGAGTACTTTTGACAAAGAAAAAAGGCCCAAACACCTTTTGTTTTGACAAAGCACAGATCGCATTCAACTTTGGTATGCCTTTTTGTGTGTTCACTTCATGAGGAATCTTTCACTCTCTTTTATATTAACATTTCCACCTCCTCACAGAAGACAATTGTGACAATAAGAAATCTGGTATATTGAAGTCTTGAAAGAATGTTACAACAAAGATGTAGCAGACTTCTTAGTTGTGTACAGTTACATGCTGCATCAGTTGGTACCTATGATTTTCGAATGTAAAACATTTCCACAGAATTCTGTGGCATGCTTAATTGGGAGCATGCTTGGTTCAGTTGCATGGACTGCAGATGGAAGCTGCTCAGATTTCATCCACCTGGGTTTCAGTGATTTGTCTCTTGGGGTCTTTTCCTGTACAAATGCAGCCAGTCTGATAAAAAACTTTATACACTAAGAAATCACATTTAGTAGGTGGTTCCCTTCTAAGCACAGTATAAGGTCTCCTTTGTGCTGTAACTTCAGACCTAGTTTTATGAAATCACAGTAGCTTTTTATGCGAAACACCATTTTTATAACTGTGACTGTAGTGCTTAGGTAAAAAGATTTAGAAATTTAAGTGACACAGATTATAAACTTGATAATGTAAGGTAAAATGTAAAAAAGGTAAAGTTATTGCTGTGCCTAATTAAGAAGCTCCACACCTTGAAGATGTATGGTTCCATCATTCTTGGCCTTGGAACTAACTGAATGTAGGTAAGCAGTCGGCTTGACACCTTGGCCACTTTACTACTGGGGAAAGAGCACCCAGTACTCATTGGATAGGAGGCTGGATGGGTCCCAGAGCCAGTCTGGATGCTGTGGAGAAGAGTAAAATATCTTGCCTCTGCTAGTAAGCAAACCCATTGCTATACCAGCAGAGCTATCTTGGCTTCCTGTAAACCTAATGACCATCCTGGTGTGTGTACCCATTGTTGCTGTGATGTGCGTGTCTATCTGCAAATAGTTTAAACTATTCAGAAAAATTATAGTTTGTTTCTAAAATAAAGTTTTCATTCTGAACATTTCACAGACTTCCAAGATGTAACCAACGGGATCCAGTGGGTTCCAAGCCAGATCTGTCTTATAACTCAAGTTCTGACTCAGGGTTTTCATCCCGATCACCTACTCCCAGTAAGCAGCAGTTACAGCAGTCAGCACTTTCTGACACAAGCTCACTGCAGCACACTGATGACAATGAGGCTAGCACTAGCTCATCAGATATTAAAGGAGTCAAGTAAGTGAAACATTTTAGAGCACATATGGACCAAGAGCATTCATGTGATCAGATGTGAGTTATGAATATCCTGTGACCTCAAGAGAATAAAATGTTTGACTACTGTTATTGCCATAAAATCTTGATTGCTTGCTTAATTGGTTGGTTTCTTGCTTGCTTACATGATCGATTGATTGGCTGGTTAGTCAGTCAGTCAACTGATTGAAGCAGGTCTTCAGTATATGTACGAGTATAATGTGGGACTAATTTTTTAACCTGATGGTTTATGTAGGAAAACATGAAAATTTATTTTATTTTAATAAAAATGACAAAATCTCTCATGGTGAAATGTATTTTTTCAGTGTTAGCTTGCTTGGTATGTTTTCAGAACAGTAATTCATGAAGTTTGAAGATATTTGCAGTCTTGTAAGGAATATTTATGTCTAACCTTTATCATGCAGGAACAGAGGATTTAAATTCCATGTACTGTGGAGCTAACAGTCAGATTTTAACTCAGTGGTTTTTGGCTCATAGTAGTATTAGTACTGAAGAAGAAAGTTTATATCTTTCAAACAAATGCTGCAAAAATAATTTAGTGGTGCTAGTATAGTACTGATGCTGAAAATATCGTTAAATTACTCATAAAGTTAATAAAATATTCTAGTAGAAAGTATTTGAAAGGAAGTAGCTTGCCAAATTCTGTACTGTTATGATTTACTATTGTTTCATGTTAGTCATGAAACATGGGGTTTGGTTTGCTGATTGGATATATTGGACTCCAAACTACAAATAATTATAATACTGAATACTGATTGTTGTTGTGTAGACAGTATGTTCTATACTTTATATATCTTAGTTATAATATTGTCACTAATCTACATGCTTAACACATCACTACAGCACATGCTAAGTCTGAGTCTATTATGTCTTCACTAGTTGTTGCTTAGTTATGATGCTAACTATAGAGGTTCTGAACGGCCAACCAGAAACTATGTTCACCAGCCACTGACTCAAGACTGGCTGGCTTCAAAGTCAAAGTCAGAGTTACTTTATGACTAGCAGGTACAACTGCAGCTGGCCAGTGCTCGGTGTGACAGGCTTAAGGTGGCTTTTCAGCTGAAGCGCAGATCTCCCTTACACTCAGTTCCATTAAATTCTGAAACAAAGTCCGATGAAATTTTTATAGTCTCTTTTGCTTTCACAGTATGACAGAATGGTGTAGCTATTCAGTATTCTTGGACCAAGTAGGCAAGAAAAATAATTCCCTCCCCATTTCCATGTTCTCTAACTAACTGAGTAGCTGAGATTTGAGGTTGTGGTGGTAGTTCTGGCAGAACCTGTTGCCTCCATCTTCTGTCCTGAAGGTAGAAGCAGCAGGTTTCTCCAAGACAGCAACCTTCTACCAGACTGCATGGTATCACATCCCAGGAAACAATAATCACATATCTGTTAGTCATTTTATCCCCTTTGTTGATGTAACCTACACACCAACTATGATATTCATCAAAGGTATATTTTTTTAACTTTTAGGCATTAGAAATATTGCCATGTTTGAGTACTTGATGCACTTTCATCTTTCAGGCAATTGCTATTAAATTAACCTCTCATCCTAGCATGTATATCACTTATTTTGATTTTAGTGTCTTATTCTCAAATCCCCTTTGTACTTTTTGCTTCACAGATTTCTGAGTCAATAGCATCTGAGCCTAAAGCTTTTGAGACTGAAGTTACTATTAAAATTTAAAAAAGGGTATAAATCATCAGGTCCTAATCAAATTTCAGCATATTTGGTACATACAGAAGGTAAACTACTGTGTTTGGGGTTCACAGCTTATTAATCCTATTTGGAGTAAAGAATAATTTCTGCAGCAGCATAAAGATTTTGTTGTTGTACCTATTTATATAAATGGGGATAAAATTGACTATAGTAATTCTTGTGGGCTGTCACTGTTGTCAACTACATACAAATTTTTCTACATTTTTCTCTCATTTCAAACTTTGTGTGTAGATTAAATTATTTGATATCATCAGTGTAAGCTTCACTGTAACAGATCAGCTAATGATCAGATATTCTGTATCCACCAGATATTGAAGATAGAATGGGAGTACATTGATGAAATGCATCAACTAATTATAGACCTCAAAATCCTATTATTTATTTAGGAAAAAAGTACTGTAGTGCATTTTCACTGAGTTCCGTAGCCCATGAAACTAGATAGGCTAATTACAGTATGTTTAAATGAGAGCTATAGGAATGTTTGTGTATGTAAATATTTGTCTGATATATTTCCTGTTGAGAATGATAGAGGCAAGACATTTTATCACCATAGCGTGTAACTTTACTTTCAAGTTCACCATGTGCAAAATATGAGAAAACCAAACTGGATTAGAATTCAAGCTCTGAATATGCAGTTGAAAATCCAGTCATATGCTTACCATCATGACCATCTGTTTGTTCCATGTCTGCAGTCTCTACCCATGATCGTGACCAAAATAAATTACTTTCTAACTGGAATTTTGAAGGTTGTGGTGCAAGGACCAGTCCAGACCTACCCCTTAGGCATTCCCATTCAATCATTCATTTTGACTGGGATTATGTAGTCCAACATTGTTAGATTTTCAGTACTAGGGAGTCATGAAACATGGTAATGAAGGTTTGATACCTGCTTGCAGTTTAGTTTTCAGAGCCTGCTCAGAACAAACAACAAACTCCGTGATCTGTAGTCCGCAAGCGAACTATACCAACTGAGTGACCGCCATTTGTCAGCAAAGCTCATACCAACTTTTGAGGATAGAGGGTGTCACATGGTCAGCGCAACAGTTCCCCACGGCCATTAATCTCGGTTTTCTAGACTGGAGCCGCTATTTCCTTGAAATATCCTCACATGGCTGAGTGGACCCCGTTCCAGACCCACTACTTCTCAGAAAATCTGGTAGTGCCGGGAATCGAACCTGGAACCTCTGAATCTGTAGCCAGGAACTCTGGCCGCTAGACGATAGAGGCAGCCAGAGCTTGCTCAGGAATCTTAATTAATGTTACTTGTTCACAGCTGATTCGGTACAGTGACTTGGCTCAGACTAGCTGAGTTAGTATAGTGATTATTCTCAGACTAGATGAGCAAGGAATGGGAGTTTGATTCCCAGCAGAGGAAGAGATTTTCCTTTTACCACAGCATACAGATCACGTTGTGAAGCTGACGACCCACCTTCATGTAATGCTGAGGTTAAGAGTGCTTGTAATTATACCTCCTCTGTGTCCCATACATCTTCATAGCATGGTGCTTAATTAAACACAGGGACATATTCTTTCCTATGTGGGAGAAATTTAAGGCAAACAACTGATAGGAACTGTAAAATCAACAAAGCAATTTGGGCAGAACTCATATAAAGCTTACTGTCTTGCTGCACAGACTTCCATGCCTACAAATCCTGTTATTCGTGTTTTCAGCATATCCAACTCCTCACCCAAATTTTTATTTTTATTTTTACAATTTCCCAGAACCACACAGTTTATTCTTAAACAGATCCGTCATCAAAACCAACTCCTTCCCTTAAAGATTCTATCTCTGAACTCAAAAACCAATCAAGTTCCACAGCTCTGAAGAATGCTGTTTGTGCATATGTTTTGTTTTGAATTTCCCCTGCCAGTTTTAGGTGCATGAAATCTCAGCTTCAGTGGGATATATTGCCTTCTGGTCTGTGCTCCTGATGTTCACTTACTGGGCAAAATATGAATACTATAAAGAGAAACACAGAAGCGTGGTTGGATGCTAGTAAGGAGGTTTAGAAGTAAACACAAAAAACTTATATGTTCTTGTCTCACCAAATAGCTAATAAATCGTTTGAAATACAGCAAAGTTCATGTACTTTGGCATGGCAGTAGCAAATCAAAATTGAATTCAGGAAAAATTAACAGCAGATAACAATTTCTGCATTCTACATTCAGTTCCAGATCTTTTGTCTTCCAGTCTGCTGTCTATAATTGTAATGATTAAAATGTGTAACTGAAGCTATAATCTTACCTTTGTTTTGTATGGATGTGTGTCATATTAATGAAAGAATGTAATTTGAGAATTGAGAGCTGGGTGATCAGGTGAATATTTGGACCTGAAAATGAAAAAGCAATGTGGGTTGGATATAGTGTGTATGTGAAACACAAGAAATACATACAGAATTTTGGTTATAAAACCTAAAGGAGAGAGGCTGCTTTGAAGACATAGACAAAGATTGTAGGATAATATTTAAATGGGTCTTCTTGCATTCAGGTGTGAGGATGTGGACTGGAGTCATTTGGATAAGGGCTCTTGTGAGCATGGAAAATACTCTTCAGGTTTGATAAAGGTGGAGGCTTTCTTGAGTACCTGCATTGTTATTGGCTCTTGAAGAAGGACTCCACTTCCTGTAGTTAGTTCTAAAGTAGATGTTTCAGAAAATGGATCCAGTGCCCAAAACGTATGTATTAAATATATCCAAGGTGATGGGCATTGTCCAGCAATGTTTGTATAACGAATAGACCCATTGTCACAGACCTTTAGTTGAGCATATTTTACTTCTCAGCATGCACATCATTCCTTATCAGTCTCTTTCTGTGTTCCATTGTACACATTATCATCTAAATGGACAGAGATGAAGCATGGAGAAATTTTGTCCTGGCTTCACTCCCAGGGAAATTACTTACAGAACTAACATGATGATTAGTGTATAGGAGTCTATAAGTTCTGAATTCACATTGCCATCATGAAATAGTTCATGAATTTGAGATTGAGGATCCCCCCCCCACAAAGGGATCATGTCTCTCAGTCTTCAGTTAGTGAAGATTCATAGTACTTAATACCTTAATACAATTACTTCAGCAGAAACCTATTATGTAATATTTGTTATTTTGCCATAATACATTGATACAAAGAACTCATGTTTAGACGCTTGCATGATGTTTATGGCACACCAGCCCTGAACAGTTCAATAAGAAGTGGTCGTCACCAGCCTCAACAACAGCAACAGTATTTCCATCAGCATTCAGCACCTGCACATTCAATACACACAGTGCCCAGTCTTCAGTTCTATGTAAGTCATTCATTTTGATAATTCTTATCTTTAAATATTAGATTTTCTTATATCAGATATGATGGAAGACATATATTGGAGTAGTGACTTTCCAGCTGTGTTCCAAATGGGTTCCCGTGGGCTGTTCAGATGAATTTTTCAAATATCAGCTTTTCTATCCCCCCCCCCCCNGGCATTATGCATTATCTCGGTTTATGCTGTTTTTGAAAATGGTTCTGCCTCTGTCTTCAGGCAAAAGAAATCTAACCTGATTGGTCCACTGGTTACTAGTCCAGTGGACCCATCAGATTAGGTCCCCCTCCTTTTGTTTGAAGACACAAGCTGAATCACCTTTGAAAATGTTACATTTTTAGGATAAACATAGACTATAGATATTGTTTATGGTAAACAAGGAGTTCCAAGGGGATCTCAGAAAGGCTGCTTTCTTGTTGCACAGTTCTTGCGTCCTGCAAATCTGTTACTGTTATTTTATTTCTGTCAAGAACTTACTGTTTAAGTACAGATTCTGTGTGCATTAAATTTGTCAGATGCAGCTTCAGAGTTTCAAACTGTCATCGTGTTTGTAGTCATTGAGTTGCAGACATGTTTTACACATAATGTGAATTCTGTGGTCTATTTCCATACCAGATATCACGTGCCCAGCTACAATGGTTAGATAATTATCACCATCAAACTGAAAGCTGAAGACATTCACATATGGCCATCATGTTAGCTTACATTCTGTATAAAAATACCTTAGCAAAAGTTGCATATTTTTCAAAGATCTATTACCATACATCACATCAAGACCATACATGGTTTCATTCATGAGCTATGTTGTTGTTATTATTGAGTATAGAAAATACAGTCATACCAAGTTTTTGAAAGATAAACCACTGGTTGAAAAGTTGAAAGGGGAACACACAGACAGCATGGACATCTCATAAGTATAATTACCTTCCTTAAGGAAGGAAAGGAGGCCATAAATCTATGATGCATTTGTCAAAGACGTTCAGAAATGAAACGGGTGTTGTATTCAAATTATAAATCCAAAAGCTTATCCTAACTTAAGTAGAGTGTGGTCCATAAGTATACGAAGCAAAGTTGGTTGGTTGGTTTCCAATGGCTGCATTTAGGATCGTTTAACCCATTTTGCTTCTTGCTTCCCAATAGAGAGCACTCAAGTTCTTGCTTTGTTGCATCTCCTTGTTAAGATTAGGGCATTGAAGTAGGTGTTCTTTTCCCATAGATGATCCTGGCAAATTGCACAGTGTACATTCTTCTGTTATATATATTCCTATCTTACAAAGATCTGCTGCAAGGCAGTCATGTCCTGTATTCAATCAAACATTTGCAACAGCATCTTTTCTTGGTTTCTTGCTGTTAATTTCCCAAAGTTTTCCTATTTCTGACGTGGTAAAGCTAGGAAGCAAAGTATTCTGTCATTTAATGTTTGGTGTCAGTGATCCAAAGTCACTTTTCCTCCGTGTAAGATATTCTTACTTTAGTGTTCAGACCCACTGTTCCCCCAAGGATCCTTAAATGAGGCTTTCACTGTATTTCATTGTTTCTGATTATAATCTATTTTCAAACAAAGGAAGAGTATGCACTTCAGAGATTTCCATTTACATAATCTGGAAACTGTGAATCATTTGCTTAGATTTATCCTCAGACAAAATCCACATTTAGATTGAGTGAGACAAAAATTGAAAATTAGAATTTAATTGATGTTGTTATATTGTGACATTGATTATTGAACTTCCTTGATTTGTTTTTGGAACAGTGTATTTCAAAGTCACTTGGAGTTAAAATGTGCTGTACAGATATGTTTGTCACAATATGTTCATATGACACTGGATTTCATAGCACATTAGCATTACCATGAAAACCTTGCTGTATGGCGTTACTGTTTCAGAGAATTTGTAATAAAGAAAACTAAAGTGTTTCTGTCAAGAATTCCAAGTACAAACACAAGTAAGACCTGTGTTAGGTGCATTATGACAGTTGTAAATTAAAGAGAACTATTTTGTTTATTTTTATTATTAGAATGACAAAATGTACTGAAGATGAAAAGTTATATGTAATGTTTCATGACGTAATAATTTTAGGAGGTTATTCCTGTGATCATTGTGTGTGAAAAATGTTATATCAACATGGGTATGATTCTCAACAATTAGCAGAGCTATCAGTAGGGAAATTTGATGATTTCGGTATATGACAGACACCTTTATCAAAGCAAGAAATAACGCTTAATTGTTGTACATAATTTTGCATACCTTGGCCCTTCACTGATGTAACAGGTGTTCAAAATGTCAGCATTCAGCTTCAGTGCATATTCTTGAATGTTCCACAATGGAATGTACAAAACAACATTGGCATAACTTGTGCCCACCATGCATTCATAAACAACATATTTCGTGTACCCCCATGTATGGAAGTCATGGGGGTTGGGGTCTGATGCTTGTTGTAGCCAGTTCTACAAACCCAATTGGCCAATCCAGCAACCAGGAAGTGTTGATTCAGGTCTTGTTACTGTAGTATGGACCTGCACAGACCTGCATTCCATTGTGTGCTTGCACAATAACACCCACACATTTCAGCTCATGTATCATTCACCTACTTAGAGCTGTTTAACTGTTCAGAATTTTACCCATGATGCTATAATATTTTTCATTTGGTATGACTTCAGTAATATCCCAAGAAGTTATGACATAAAGTCATGACATGCTCTGTTTATATTTGTAGGATTTGAGGTTCTCACAGAGGTGGATATGAAGTGTTCTATCTTCTAGTATATAACACCATGTAGTCCATTGACAGTCAGCCTACACTTGGAGCATGAATTTCAGTGGACTATGCATCATTATATCCCAGAAGACAGAACTCTGCATATTTATATTTGTTGATTTTCTTCATTTTTTATTCACAGACAACTTTATTGTAAGTAAAATACAGTACTCTAAATGATGGTTGGCAGGTAATGGTTGTATTATTTTTCAGCAACAGCAACAAACTTTGCAGCCTGGATTAATTCAGAGTGAGAATCCTTATCAAAGTAAACGGCGTTACCATTCTGGCAGACATTCTCCACCACTACCCCTACATCCTCATCACCATCGGCCTTCACGCGGAGGACGCCGCCTGAATGGATTTCTGCTGCCCCTCTCCAGTGGACCTGCACCAGTTCTTATTGCTCCTGACCGATTTTTGTCACGTTCACATCTTGTACAAGTTTCTCATGCACCACCACAGCTTGTCTCTGGCTGTGAATGGGATAAGGTAACCTCTTCAGCTTCTGAGATGATAAATAGGATTATACCCCAACGTAACCCTTTGGTCACTTTCTTGGTGTGTAGACCTTGATATGTTCCTTCTCGTACGATATCTCGTCATCATTGAATTATGGTTAGGATTATGATTAACCCTCCTATTGTTAGCAGCTCTTGATTATATTGATGGAATCATTTGATTATGCCCGATATTGTTACTATGGCCCCAATAGCGCCCGTTAGTGGTCAGGGTCTCTGTTCCACTAAATGGAATGGGTGGTTTCTGTGTCTTGTCATTAATTTACTTCTCTAGAGTATAAGGTTCTTAGAACTGCAAATACGTATGATTGGATTACGGCTACGGCTGATTCTAAGATTAGCAGTAGGATTTGTGCAATAATTAGCACCCCTAGGAGAGATTGTGTAATTGTTGGTCCGTTATTTCCTAGTAAGGTTAATAAAAGGTGTCCTGCAATTATGTTTGCTGTCAGTCGGACTGCTAGTGTTCCTGGTCGGATAATGTTTCTGATTGTTTCGATGCAAACTATAAATGGTATTAGGGGTGTTGGGGTTCCTTGTGGAACTAAGTGTTCAAATATGTGGTTTGTGTTGTTGATTCAACCAAATACCATGCATTTTTCTTCACCCATAGATATAACATGAACATGTGCTTTTGAGTAAAAATAAAGTCTTATCTTGTAGTTCTTTAAATAATGGTACTGCAATCATGAAAAGTTCAGTCATGATACTACTGCTTCATCCCAACCATTCTTAACCAGTTTGATATATTTTCCTCATATTTCATATTTATAAGTGGACTAAGAATATGATAACGTTTAAGTTCAGAGCCAGTTATAATTCATAATTGTTGTATACAAAGTTCTAAGAGATTATATATGTCTGCATGTTCATGTGTGTTTATGTACAGTAGAACCCCCATTAAATGTTAGTTGATTTAAGGTGTTCTCCCATTAGAATTCAGTTTCGGTGATCACAAATCTGTAATCTGTCAACATGCACTGCTGCTCAAGTAAATGTTGTGTGGAGTTTCATTGTGTATGTATATGTGGACACACACTCACATAAGTGTGTGTGTGCGCGTGCATGTGCATAATTTAACTTCAAAATTAAAATGCAGAGACATTAATGATAATAATTATTGATATTTCAGCTATCAGAAGGTATATGGAACAAATTCATGATACATCAGCAAACAGAAACTACGTATAGGAAGAAGATACTGCTCTGGAAATGCCTGTCAAATTCCATTCAGGTAAAAGCCAAATGAACCTATGCACAATGTGCACTATATATCAGAACTTGAATTTAAGGAAATTAAGTTCAGTAAAATAAGTTACCTTAACTGAATCATGTGTAAGACCTGCACAGATGTGGTAGGTAAAGCAAATTGTACATATTCATAAAAATTACTGTAATTTCAGAAATATAAAAGCAACTTGACAGTTTATGTAATTATATGTAATATATTTTAATGAAACAAAAGCAGATAATGTAATGTAACAGTAGCAAGAAGATTAGAGACCTGCAGGGAGGAATAAATGAATTTAAGAATGGTTGCCAAACTGGTAGTACATAACTTAGTAAAGGATGAGAATGGTGGTCTGCTTGTAGATTTCCACAGCATTTTGAATAGGTGTAAGAACTAGTTCTCTCAGTTATTGAATGTACATATGGTCAGTGATGTTAGGCAGTTAGAAATACATACAGCTGACCCATTAGTACCTGATCCTAATTCTTTTGAAATTGCTATTGGCAAAATTGAAGAAGTATGATAATGATCAAATTCTGGCAGAACTGATTCATGCAGAAGGTGAAACATTGCATTCTGAGATCCATGAACTTGTTAATTCTATTTGGCATAAGGAAGAATTGCCTGATCAGTGGAAGGGGTCTATTATTGTACCAGTTCACAAGAAAGGTAATAAGACTGACTGCCGTAATTATCATAGGATAACGCTGCTGTCAACTTCATACAAAATTTTATCTAATATCCTTCTTTCAAGGTTAAGTCCATATATAGATGAAATCACTGGGGATCATCAGTGTGGGTTTTAACATAACAGATCAACTAATGATCAGATCTTATGCATTCGTCAGATACTGAATAAAAAAAATGGGATACAATGAGACAGTACATCATCTGTTCATAGACTTCAAGAAAGCCTGTGATTCAGTTAGGAGAGAAGTATTGTACAATATTCTGATAGAGTTTGGGATACCCATGAAACTAGTTAGGCTGATTAAAATGTGTTTAAATGAAACCTATAGTAAAGTCTATATAAGTAAACATCGTCTGATGCGTTTCCTATCTACAGTTGTCTAAAACAAAGAGATGCTCTATGACCATTGCTTTTCAATTTTGCTTTAGAATATCCCATCAGGAAGATCTAGGAAAACCAAGTGGGACTGACATTAAATGGTACACACCAGCTGCTTGTATATGCTGATGATGTAAATGTAATGGGAAATAACATACACAGAATATCTAATTGATGCTAATAGGGAGGTTGATCTAGAAGTAAGCACAGAGAAAACTAAGTATATGTGGTCTGACAATAAAGTTTGCAAACTCATCACGGTAAAAGTGCTACATACCTCAGTCCTGAATATCACTGTGGTCGCCTTCAGAGTACTCTTTGGAAGCTATGCACTGATGCCAGCGCCTAATTCACCCTTCTAAACAATTTTGGAACTGGTTTTGTGGAATGGCCTTCAGAGCTGCCGTCGTATTACTCCTGATGTCATCATTGTCTTCAATATGCCTTCCTTTCAATATTTCCTTTATGTTTGGGAACAGAAAAGAGTCATTGGGGGCTAGATCCGGTGAATAGGGAGGGTGTTCCAGCACAGTTATTTATTTACTAGCTGAAAACTCCCTCACAATGCCATGTGACCAGGTGCATTGTCATGATGCAAGATCCAAGTGTTGTTGGGGATGGCACACCAAAATACACTCAGACAGTAATAGACGGCACTCAGAAAGAAACTGCCATGGATCAACAACAACACAGCTGTGGAATGCTGATATGCCAGTGTCATCAAACCATACTGAGATTTCTGTTCACTGCTACCACGACAAGCACACGGTGGCAAGTTGATGAACTTCTTGTCAGACCTCGTATGTTGCTGTCTCATCACCAGAATATAGTACAAAATCATAACATAAAGATAGCTAATCCGTTGAAAACGTGACAGAGTTCAAATATTTGGGAACGAGGGTAACAAGTCAAAGAGTTTTATTAAGGACACATTTAAGAGCAAACTAAATTTGGGTAATGCTTGCTACCATTCAATCTTCTGTCTAAAAATACAGATTAAAATACACAAAAACAGATTTTTGCCAGTAGTTTTATGTGAGTGTGGAATGTGGTCTCTGACAGTATGAGAAGAACATAGACTGAGGTTAATTGTGAACCGGGTGCTGAGGAGAATATTTGGACCTGAGAGGTATGAAGTGACAAGTTGTTGGAAAAAACTGCATAATGAGGAGCTTCATAACTTGTACACGTTGCCAAATGTGATTAGAACGATCAAGTGAAAGAGGATGAGGTGGGTAAGGCATGTAGCACATATGAGGAGAAAATGAATGTATATAGGATTTTGGTAGGAAAGTACGAAAGAGACCACTAGGAAGACCTAGACATAGATCAGAGGATAATAGGTATTAAGATAAATCTTAGAGAGATAGGATGGGTTAATGGGGACTGGATTGGTCTGACTCAGGATAAAGGCCAGTGGAGGGCTCTTGTGAACACAATATTGAACCTTTGGATTCCATAAATTCTTAAGTAGCTACACAGCTGATGGCTTCTCAGGAAGCGCTCAGCTCCGTGGAAGCTTTAGTAAGTAATAGTTTCAGTTCAGCTTATGTCATCAAATGAGAATATAACAGTTATAAAAGCGATTTTTCAAAACTTTTGCTATATTTATTTCCATAAAATACACACTTTTTTACCAGAACCTTGTATCTGAAAGTTGTGATGCATAAAATATGGGAATACTACTTTTCAGAGTATAGTGTTACTTGTTATCAGTGTGAGGTTAGGTAAATTGTAGCTGCTTAATATTGGGGATTAAAAAATTGAATTGTATGATGAAGTACAAAGGGTGTTCCATATATAATGCCTCCTATTTTTTTGTGTTAATATGTAACGTCTGAGCTGGATGTTGGTGGTGTTGTAGTAAAGTTTGAACTTTCCCGCCAATGTACTGTTAGTTTGGTTGTCATGCGACAGATAGCGACAGCAGAGCAGTCTACCAAAATGCCTGCCTGACATAGAAGTGAGTACGAAACAGAGATGTGTTATTGAATTTCTCACTGCCGAACAAATTGCACCCATTGACATCCGTCGACGCATGCTAAAGGTGTACGGAGATGATACCTTGGATGTCAGCACAATGAGGCGGTGGGTAGTACGTTTCAACAGTGGCGAAAGTGAAGTGCACGACAAGCCACACCCTGGGCGTCCCTGCTCAGCTGCCACTCCTCACAATGAACAGCGCCTCGATCAGCTCATCCGTACAGATCGGCAGATAATGACCAGGGAACTGTGTGTATGGCTTAATATCAGCTGTAATGCATTGGAAACTATGTTGGAGAAGCTGGATTATCGCAAAGTTTGTTCCAGGTGGGTCCCATGGATGCTTACACAGGACCACAAAACTCATCGAATGGAAGTCTGTCAGGACCTGTTGCACAAGTTTGATGCAGAAGGTGACAAGTTTCTGGACAGCATCGTCACTGGAGATGAGACATGGTGTCACCACTACGAGTCAAAATCCAAAAGACAGTCCATGGAGTGCCGACATCCGGATTCCCCAAGAAAAAAGAAGTTCAAGACACAGCCATTGGCAAGGAATATGATGTGCACGGTCTTTTGGAATAGGCGGGGTGTGACTTTGTTGGATTTCCTGTAGCCTGGTGAGACTGTCAATTCTGAACGCTACAAGATGACCCTGACTAAGCTGAAAGCCCGCATTTCTCAAATCAGGCCAGAGAAGCAGACAACCTTTCACTTACAACACGATAACACTGGACCCCCTACCAGTTTGGCGACCACCGTGCTGGGCTGTCCTACCACATCCACCTTATAGCCCCAATTTAGCACCTTCAGACTTCCAGCTCTTTGGGTCTATGAATGATGGACTACGTGGGCAACATTTTTCAGACAATGATGCTGTCATTGCAGCTGTAAGAAAGTGGCTAGCCTCTGCTAGCGCAGACTTTTATGGGCGCAGAATACAGGCTCTTGTTCATCGCTGGCAAAAGTTCGTAATGAATGGTGGTGATTATGTGGAAAAATAGCTGTAAGTAGCTGAAGTCTTGCTCTATTTAACTGCGTTATTATGTTTTCTGTATCTGTTGTAGTTTTCTTTAAGGAAAATAGGAGGCGTTATATATGGAACGCTCCTCATACAATTTGCAATCCTTTGTGCATATTTTATTACAATTAAAACCATATTTCAATAAAACATAAAATGAACATATAATGTAATAGTTTCAGTTCATTGTTTGCCCCCCCCACCACCACCAAGAAAGAGGAGATACAATTTCAAAAGTATAGCCTTGAGAGCAATTTTTGTAAATTTTGTTTTGTATTTATTTGCATAATTTACACACACTTTTGACCAAAATTGTGTATCTGAAAGCTGTAATATGTAAAATGTGGGAATACTGCTTTTCAGGATATAATGTTATACGAGGGTTGGAACTTTAATAGTGGCAACACTGCTGTAGAGACGCCATGCAATGGAACCAAATAAAGTCGCTTATACCACATGTTAGTTACATACCTATCTTACCTCAGAACAAATGGACTCTCCCTTCCCACATCACGCACATGTGCAGTGACGAGAGGAACAGAGCCTCGTGTTAGCTGACGGTCTAATGTAGTGTTGTCATGATGTTTTCGAAACAGGAACAGCGGAAGGAGAGGCTTTCTTACGCCATACATTACACTGGATGACACATGGGCCAAATCGTACAAGCTACAAATGAAACGACAATTGAACGAATGGCGTCATTATGGGTCACCACGAAAATCAAAAGTTCGTCAGAACCCCAGCAATGTGAAAGTTATGGTGATTCTCAAGTGCAACTGTGATGGCGTTATCCTAATGCATACTGTTCCCCGAGAGCAGATCGTCATTGCGCAGTATTACTGTTCATTTTTGGAACACAACCTGTGACCAGCTTTGAGAAAGAAGCAGCGACACTTTCTGCAGAACCCACTCTTCGTTTGCAGGACAATGCTTGGTTGCATGCAGCAGAAGCTGTGGCTGATATTGTTTGATCGATTTGGCTGGGAAGTGCTGTACCATCCACCATAGTCCCTGGACTTAAGCCCTTGTGACTTCGACTTGATTCCTAGGATGAAGGAACCTCTTCGTGGCAGTCACTTCAGAAATGTTCCAGTGATTCTTCAGGCAGTAGACCGCTTCTTTCGAACTATCAACACAACAGGCACTGCTAAAGGTATCCTGTGACTTCCACATCACTGGCAACAGGTTGTACACAGTGCTGGTGACTACATTGAAGGACAGTAAAACTTCGAAACATGCATCTATTTTGTATCAGTTGTAAATAAATGGTTGCCACTATTAAAGTTCCAACCCTCGTACATTATTAGGTTCCCTACTTATTATTGTTAAGTACCATAATAAAATATGAGGGATAATAATTTCAAGACTACTGAATCCAACATGTACTAAGCATGTAAAATATTTGACTTAGGAGCCTATTGACAATAGATTATATTTGTGAGAGCTTCCCCTGCACTACCTTCTTTCAGTTTCATAGAAGAACTGCCTGGTTATACTGAATAGGAATCAGTGTATCATAACCCAAGGAAGTGGAGAAAGATACTGAAAAACAAGAAAAGACTAAACCTGTCCAACAGTAGTTATATATGCGCTTTTTCTTCTCAAGCTATGTACGTAGTGTGTTCAAAAAGTATCGAACCTTCTTTTTTCCCACATAAACCAATGAAGCGCAGGAGGCTCCCTTCAGTGGAGATGTGGAGGGGACATTCATGCGCAGTCGTGAATTTTTTCCGGCCGCAGAAAGCGTCAGTCGCTGGCAGTTGGCCTATGAGTGAGGACGTGTAGTGAGTGCTCGTCGGATTCCAGTAAGGTGTAAAATGACGGAACAACATGAGCGGCGATATTGCATCAAATTTTGCCAAAAGCTTGGCAATACCCAAGTGGAAGCCATTTGCAAGATTCAACAGGCTTTCGGGGATGATGCCATGAGCAACTCACGGATAAAGGAGTGATACAACCGCTTCAAAGATGGCCGCACATCAGTGGACAGCGAACCACATTCAGGCAGACCCTCAACAAGCCGAAATGAGAATGTCATTGAGCAAGTGCGGACTTTGGTCATGGAGGACCGTCGTATCACAGTCCGAGAACTTGCGAATGAGATAGGGGTAAGCATTTGATCAGTATATTCAATTTTGACCAAGGATTTGGGCATGAGGAGAGGGTCCGCGAAATTCATGCTGAAACTGCTAACAATGGAGCAGAAGCAACGCTGTCTGGAAATCGCACAGGACATGCTGGATAATGCAAACAGTAACCCCAACTTTCTGAAGACCGTGATCACAGGTGATGAGTCGTGGGTTTATGGGTACGAGCCGGAAACCAAGATGCAGTCGTCACAGTGGAAACATCTGACATTCCCGAGGCCAAAGAAGCACGGCAGGTCCACAGCAATGTCAAGGTCATGTTGGCCGTATCTTCGACTCCCGTGGGGTTGTGCATCATGAGTACGCACCACAAGGCCAAACCATCACAAAGAAATACTACCAGGAGGTCCTTCGTCACCTTCGTGATGCTGTGCGGCGCAAATGACCAGATCTGTGGGCAGCAAAAACTTGGCAGCCCCATCATGATAATGCACCCGCTCATTCTGCACATCAGATTCAGACTTTCGTCGCCAAACACAACATCCCTGTGGTTCGTCAGGCTCCCTACTCCCCCGACATGGCTCCGTGTGACTTTTGGCTCTTTCCCAAGCTGAAAATGCCGCTGAAAGGAACCTGATTTGAGTCAAGAGAAGACATCATGCGAAATTCGATGGCCCAGCTGATCACCATTCCAAAAGACGCGTTCCAGAAGTGTTTCCAACAATGGCGGAAGTGCTGGGAGAAGTGCGTGCATGGCCAAGGAGACTACTTTGAAGGGGATTAGGGTTTTGTACCTCCAAATCAATAAATGTATTTCTGCTGACCAAAGGTTCGATACTTTTTGAACACACCACATATGATTGATGAAAGATATTGTATTAGTAACTGGACATGGGGCTAGGATTGATAATTGGATTTATTGAACACTTATAAATACAAATAATTATAACACTGTCACTAATCTACATGCTCTGTATATCACTATGGCACACAATAAATCTTCTCAGTATCATATTTCTTCAGTACTTGTTGCTTTATAGCAGCTCCAAATAGCAGTCTATGCAAGTCTATGCCAATAAAGTTTACAAAATCCATGGAAAAATTATTTCTATATAATGTAAAAGGTGTACAACAGTAGATTGTACTTGCTTGAGACTGGTGACTCAGAACTGAGGAGTTCTGCCAGTTCATTCATCCCATTTTTAATCTAATTGTTTGCCAGCTGTTTCATTTGGAGAGTATGATCTTCTGTGATGTGATGCTGTATAGTCTGGTAGTTTACCAACATTTTGGATGAACATACAGTCCATGTCTTCAGTATTGAATAAGCCAGGCTAGTAGATTTCTTCTTGCTTCTTTGCTTGCTTTCCTCTTTGGGCTTGAAGATATAAACAATATGTTCCTCCAGAACATCTGTAAATTTCTACCAGTCTACATGGTGTCACATTGTAGACAGCATTGTAGTGCTTGTTACTGCTGCCTTGGTAGTCTTTGTTGCTCCATTGTGATGAGGGGTTTGTAAGCATTGTGATAAACCTTTTGGTTCTGCTCATGTAGTAATGCCTCTAACTTTTGTGTGTTATGAACAGTCATCATTCCCGCGCTATGAACTGTGCCTTGTAGGCTCCACCATGAATGGATTTGGAAGTGATAGGAGCGATGTGGATATGTGCCTTCTTGTACGTCATACTGAAGTGGATCAGCGCAATGAAGCTGTTATTCATCTGGGATATGTGCTGAAGCATTTGCGGCGCTGTGGTGAGTCATCTTAAAACAAGTATATAGTGTGGTACCTTAAGTCACTATATGCTCTTTTTGTGATATCTAGTTTGTATCGTGTTCATGTTCTTGCTATTTTAAAAATTAACTGCATGCAGATCTGTGCATAGTGGAATCTTCATTTAATGTTCCTCAATTTAAAATTTTCCTCATTTAGAATTCAATTTGTATGGTTCCAGCAAAAGTGCTCTGATTTTCAGTTTCTTCCATATAAGGTTTCTTTTGCTTATTGTACAAATTCATTGTCTCCTAAAGAAATATGAAATGGTAATTCCACTGATTTTGATGAGTCAAGTTGAGGTTGAGCACGACCACTTTTTGGAGAAAACCAAATTTTTTAAATATGCTGGAATATTCAGGAATCATTTTCTGGGTACCAACAGGATGTGCTCATAATTGATAAATTATATTAAGCTTAAGAATATATTCAGTTATTCAGTATTAGTGGGGGTGGGTTTCCCCATGCACCATGACTAGTAGTCTATTGTACGTCCCACTTTAATTTTTACTGTCGCCATACCCTACCGGTACTGGTGCTCGCTATCCCCTTTCTCCCAGCGAGGTCAGCCCTCTTCTGGCAGTGGTACCCAATAACTTCCCCATCTACCGGAGGCATTGGAAACTACTTGGGCGGGAAACTTTTTGTCTAATTTTGCTCAGAGGTCTCCTAGAGACATGAGGATCTTTTGCATGCCGTAAATCTACGACACGAGATCCACGGCTTAAAGTCACTCCCGGAGGACTTATTCCCTGAATTTTTCCGCCCTTAAAAATTCCACGACCTCCACCAGGATTGAACCTGCGTGCCTTGAGTCATGAGGTGGGAATGTAACCCCTAGACTACGGAGGCCGCTAAGCTTAAGACTATAAGTATATAACATATTTACCTGAATATAAGATGATCCCTTCTTAAAATGTTTAGTTTTCATAAAAATGTGTTTTTGTCCATATTAGGATTGGCCAGGCTTGCATTTCACAAAAGGTCTTCATTTTCAAGTTAAATAAACATAACTATTCAGACACTTGCAGAAACTCATGTTATTAGTACAAAGGCACAAAGTGTTAGTAGAAAGTACTGAATAAATTGCATTAATTAAAAAGACAAGGGTATAAAAAGGTACATTGAATAAACCAGTCCATGTATAACAGTCACTATCATTACCACCTCCTTCATCACCCAAAGGATTGTCTGCATCATCATAGATGCCTTCCCATACATTACTTCTTCACCCCAAATAATGCCTCAGGCAGTTTCGTCATCTTCCCTAGTGGAATCAGTGGACAATTTCCAGACAGTAGCCATTCGCCGTAGAGGTGACACAAACAATCCTTGAATGGTTTGTTAACTACCACATCAAGAACCTGAAACTGGGAGATAATGCTTTAAGGTGTAATCACTAGGTATGTGTTGAATTCACAGGTTTGGAGTTTCATGTTACCTCATACATAGCCTCAAAATGCTTCTCCCTGTTCATAGAAGAGCTCCTGGTCATCTGTCCAAGACTTCTCTGGCCAGTGACACATCCAGTCATTCGCATGGATTTAAATATGATGTATGAAGTTTTTATAGCGGTTAGAGTTGATAAAATCCTCTCAGGCTGTCAGCCATATCAGTTGGTTAAATATCACTGACATTTCAGGGACTATCTCTGTCCCCATTGACAGGGTCTGATGTGTCTGATTTGAATATAACACTGCATAGGTTTTCCTTGGATAGATCTTTTTGTGTGTGTGTTCAGAAAGGGTGTTGTACAGAGAGCATTACTGCTATTCTGAAATACCTCATGGCCAGTAGATTTTACCGTCCCATATTTCAATTATGAAGTTTACATGGGTTTACATGTGAATTTCTAAGTGGACCATGAAGTTTGTCATATTTCCAGCATAGACTAATTACATACCTCTTCTCAGCATAGTCCTCTGTAAGCTTCTTAGCTCATGTTTGCTTGTGAAGTTATAGGATATTTTGCTGCATAAACCTGATGGTCAACTTGGCTTTCTTATGCATCATCTCCCATGAACCAGGGAGCCCATCCAACTATACATTTTTAAATCAAACGCTTGTTCATCATTATCATCATCGTCATTTATGTGCCATCCTTGCTTGAGCCCTTGAAATGTTTTTTACATGGAATTGATATTTAATTGTTCTTGTAATTACCTCCAGTGTCAGATATATGCTTTACTTTCTTCATGACACAGCTCAGTGTTTGGTTTATCCCTCGTGCTTCATGACCATTAATTTAGAGTTCACATCGTTGCTGCAATGCACACCTCTTAATGTCTCAGACAGTGTGAAACCTCTCATTTCAACATGGTCACCCATTATTTATATCACAGTGTTCTTATTTTTTTCTCTCACAAAAATGAAAAATGCAAATTTTTCTGTGTACACATGTTAAACCTTCAGCCATCACACACTGCCATTCATAACACCACATTGCCAAATGCTTCTGGCACTGCACACTGCAGCATTGGTTTCATGGGATAGAAGTAGCTACAGCCACACTTACTTCACCTGTAAATAAAATGAGGACAGTGCTACAAAACTGCCGCATTAACCATCCAGAAAACAATGCCAGCAGAATACAACTGGTGATGTAAATACATTGACCCCAGCGTGGTATATTCCAAATATACGAGTATAAGATGGCCCTTGTTTTTTCAGATGCCGAAGTATGAAAAAACCTCGTCTTATATTCAGGTAAATACGGTAAGTTTTAATTGTAAAATGAGTGCTGTAAATTATTATGGCTTTCTACTTCTCAGTAGATTTCTCCCCATTGCTGTGACTGTGTTTCTTCCCTCTATAACAGGATGTTGTGAAACTGCTCATACTGGTAGGTAAAGGTGAGAAACAAATATAGCATTGAAGAGTTTTAGCTTGTGGGAGGTAATTCCATATAGTCCACTGAAAGTCATCTGATGTTTCAGAGGAACATGTTGCCTCCATTTTCAGGGTTGAAGAGTAGGTCTAGCAAGAAACCAGCATGAAGCAGGCAGCAGGGAGAGTGCTTTCTGACTTCTTGCTTTGTTTACACTTCACCCCTGATGATGGAGACAACGTGTTCCTCTGAAATGTTTGTTGACTCTCAGTGGACTGCATGGTGTGTTAACCACCACAGTGAGAAACTCAAACCCTACAATTATAACACTTTTGAAAAATAAACAGTACAGTGGCTCTGTAATTGGAATTTATAATGGTCAAGAAACATCTTCGGGATTACAAATGATATTGCAATCATTCAATTTGATGCATAGAAATTTGTGCAGTAGCAAAAAACATTCCTTCATACCTACTTCGTAGTAAACAAACTGTCAGACACACAGAAATTTTGCACATTACATATAATAATTCTATAACAAGGAAGTTGAATTTTTTATATTGCATACATTGAACCTGATATACATTTGGATGGCAAGAGTAGTGATACAGTTCAAAACAAGGCAGACTCAATAGAGATAATTATCAAGGTCACAGTCTTAATGTTGTGGAAGTACAAATATGTGTCATTAGACTGTGGTTGTGATTAAGTGGCTATAATGCTTCCAGAAACTCAATGTGCCTTGTCTTAAATCTATACCAGACTACTCAGAAATCTAACTAATACCATAGTCACAAGGCAAGAAGAGGCTGTACAGTTGAGTTTACACATATGAGCAGTGTACACTATTCCCACGTGGTGAAATGGTATGTGCTGTGAAAAGTATGTTGTGATCAGTAGCCATCATGACAAGGACCGTACAGATCCAGCAACATCAGAGGACGCAGAAAAACAGCGAGACCTCCAAAAAGTGAAAAGTGCAATATAATAAAATTGAACTTTAATTCATGAACTTTTTAACCAGTAATATAATTAAAACTAGTTAAAGTGAACTTGACGCAGTGATGAGCGTAAGTAGGAAGTGACTGTATAAGTGAAAGTGAAAGCACACTAGTGATCTGAATTGAAATTCGATTCGCAAATTTTAAATTTAAATTTTAACTTTTGACATTTAGAATAATATTTTAACTTGTGTTTTGTGAGAGGATCTTGATATATTATTGAGCGTGGGCCTGAATAAGATACAGGATCGAATAAGTGAAAAGACAAATATCATTGCGTGCAATTATACAGCTGTGTTTGTACACCTGAGGATGACCTCTTGAGGTCGAAACATGTAGCGTAATAATAATAAAAATATGTTGTGTGGTCAGTAAAATTGACTCTAATATTAATTAAATACACAACAGGATGCAAGAAACAATTTAAGTATACTCTCTTCACCTTTGTTACTTTCAGCATTTGCTTAATATCATCCGTAAATTGTGCAATAGCTGATTTTATCTCCTGTTTTTACTACAGTATCATAATGTCGAAAATATTTAACCTACCAATTTTAATTTTTGTAACTCCTTGTGACTTCATACTTCATATCACTATGTAAACTTTTTCTTATTTTTTCCATGATAGCATAGCTTTTTACAATCTTTGTTTCTCACAGATATCACCTGTACACACAGCACAACTGACTCTGTTGTACATGATACTGAAACATTGCCAAGCCAAAGTTCATATTTGAATGTGCTGCACTTCAAGGTCACAGTCTATGAGATTTCTATGTTAGCAGGCCAGAAGGCTTAAAAGGCAGTCATTAAGAAATCATATTTAATAATAATATGATTGTAATACAGACTTCTCTTTATTTTCTGTACTTACTGTAACAGACTTTTATTATACATGAGTTGCATATTGTGGCAGTTGAAAATAAATTGTGTTTTATGACTACAAAAATATGCCAAACATTTTTGTATACAAGAAAGTGTGGTTCCTTCCCATATGTGAGGGAAAATTGTATGCAGATTAATATGGTATATATGATTATGTGTGTTTGTAGATGTTTTCCTTGAACAGTTCTATCTTCTGGCATGTAATGCCATGTAGTCTGTTGGCTGTCAACCAACGTTTTGGAGGAACATGTTGCCTCCATGGTTGCCATCTGCTTTCACACTCATTTCTTGCTTGGCTTATTGTTTGGCCCTGAAGCTGGAGGCAACATGTTCCTCCAAAACATCAGTTGACTTTCAGTAGACTACGCTGCATTATATCTCTTCACAAACGCTGCTGTGAGAGCCTTAAATAAGATAATATGTTTTCTTCTTTTAACAGAACAGTTAGCACGGCCAGAATTAATCCAAGCTAAAGTGCCTATCCTGAAGTTCCGTGACACAAGCTTCTCTCTGGAAGTAGACCTGAACTGCAACAATTCTGTGGGAATACGCAACACACATCTGCTCCACTGCTACTCACAAAGTGAGTTCCTCATTAATTAGTTCCTAACGATCTGTTTTAATTTATTTCAATTAATATTATTATCTGTAATTATTATAATTGTCTTAGTGAAATTTATGTTATCTTCCACAGTGTCTCACAACATGGCCTGTTTTTTAAAAAGCCTTCGGTATTAATGCATGTGTTGAAAATCATCATCATATGAAAAGTAGATATTTCCATGATAGTATTGTACAATGATTTTTTTCTCATTCATCACTGGGTAATTTTTACAAAAAGTAATAGTTTGTATGTTGGCTCTGTTTATAAGTGATTCTCTTTTGATGAGTTTATCCGCATGTTCCATTTTCATGTTGGATGTGTAAGACACATTCCACTGGAGTAGAGTACTCATAAATCTGCCTTTGCTTACCTTGTTGATTTGTTGATGTTTATATGTGAGTGTTCGTTGCAAGTAAAAGCACTGCTTGGTGATGATCACCTCTATAATTATTGCAGTGGACTGGAGAGTGCGTCCTCTTGTACTCATTGTCAAGCTGTGGGCCCACAAACATGATATCAACAATGCCAAAAATATGACAATATCGAGTTATTCATTGGTGCTTATGGTCATTCATTTCTTACAGTGTGAGTATTATTGCTTCAGTTTTTATTAGTACCATACTTGTTTAAACTGATAACACTGGAATGGGTTACCATAAAGAAATGTTCTTTCTCATAAGCTAATCATACATTTGTTTCAGAAGTTTTGTTCTGCAGTTGACAGTGTTAAAATATTCTGGAATTATTTATTACTTTCTGTAACAGAGTTTTGAGATTGTATTCTTGGCTGTAACAATGTAAAAATGAGAGCATCCTCCTAGGTTATTAGATATATGTACATAAATTGAATAGCATATTCCTTGTCTTCTGACCATCCACATGATCCATCCCATGCTGTATCTGCCCTTCAGAAACTTATTTTGCAAAGCTTCATTGGAGTTTGTGAAGCACGAAACTGCAATGTGCAAAATCCAAAGGAATGCTTTCAGTAAGTCTTGCTTGTGAAAACAAACTGAGGCTTGTACACATTTCACAGCATGTGGCCACTTACTTTATTTAATTCTGCTGTTCTGTTGCAACAGTAGGCAGCAGTATGTAATAGTTCTGAGTATACATTAAAAAAATAAGTTTTAACTAATTTTAGCAAAATTTGACAATAACTGGAACTATTTGTAACAAAATTTTAGAACACTGAACTAGAAAAAATGATATAATACAGCAACTACATAAGAGTATGTACCTGATGATGACTTTAAAAGGTTGAAACAGGTTGTAGAAGTAACACTTACATAAAAGAGTGGCAACATAGTACATCAACAGCTTACAAGCATGACAAGAAGTTGCACCTTCAAAACTGTCATTGCAGATTGAATCATTAATTAGTGTAATATAGTAATAACCTGAAATTATATATAGACCTTTTAAATTATATGATGAAATGGTGTGATATACTCTGCACTTAGAATAGGATACCCTGTGGCATTACTGTGGACTGGCCTTGCATCCCTCTCCAAACTTGAAACACTTCAGTATTCATGTAACATTGTGGTAAATTGCAGCATTTGAGGCCAACATGTGAGATGTTTATTGACTGGAACCTAAACATGTTTTGAATCTGGTCAAATTAAACTTTAATTCCTACATGGAAATAATAGGTTGAAGAACATGTTTCACAAAATCTTTAAACAAAAGTCATGAGTCGGAATTGTAAGTTAATTTAATTTTGTTCAGCTTTATTGAAGTATGTAGCCTAAGGTTCACTACACTGAAATGGAATAATTCCACTGAATTTTTTAGTAAAAGATTTCCAGTCCTCATTGAAAGTTGGATTTACTGGAGCCATATAAAATGTGTTTAATTTCTGTGTATGTTTCAAACACTCTTCCTTTATGCCATATAGATTTTTTTTTTAATTTATCGCCAGTCGGGTGGGACTAAGTCCCTTGTACTGTGGCCAGTTCTGGCCTATTGTACCAGCCCCAGATGATAGGTGAGGGTGATTGTGGAGCAATTGGTGGAAAGAAGATTGGCAGGGAAACCGAAGTACTCAGAGAAAACCTGCCCCCAGCACTACTTTCTCCACCACAAATCCTACTTGACCAGACCCGGGATTGAACCTGAGCCGCCGCAGTGGGAAGCCAGCAACTAACTGCTTGAGCTATGGCACGGCCTATGCCATACAGATAGTGCAGTCTTAATAGTGGTATTACAGATAATCAAACAATAAATCTTCATTTCCACAGGTGGTGTTGCACCTCCAGTACTTCCATGCCTCCATGAAATGTATCAAGGTAAATTCACCCCACATTCAGATGTCCTGATGATAGACATGCATGAAGACTTGCAACCATTCAACTCAGACAATACACAGGCACTGGGCGAGCTTCTCCATGACTTTCTGCGCTATTATGTAGAATTTGAGTGAGTGACATTTATATGTTTTAATTAAGATGCAGTGAAAGTAAAGAAATAGGCCGTCCACAAAGTAAAGACTCTTCAGTGATTAAAAAATAAAAGAATAACATTAAAAAACTATATTTATGTCATTACTAAAGACCTTGAATCATTTCTCTACATAATCCCTATGAAGATTCAGTCAATTGTCATATCATGTGATGAGTTTCTGTATGCCTGCTTTGTAGAAATCTGCCACCAGTCCATTGAAACAGTCTTTAACCATCTTCTTCACTACTTTGCTTCCCATGTTCAAGCCACCCAAAAAAGCTGCGTCAGATGTGTGAACAAGTGAAAATACTTGGAGCCAGTTCGAGACTGTAAGGAGGATGGAAAAAAATGTCCCAGGCAAAGTCAGGAAGTAACGCACGTGTGCTAGTGGTCTTTACTTTCTGGATGACACTCATAGTAATATAATATCTTTAATTCATATTGACTAAGCCAGTGATGCACAGGGCCACATTGCCAAACTCCCCTTCGTATGCGAGCTGTGTGATACAGATTTTATAATAAATAACAAAATTTGTATTTGATGTTAGTAGAAACACTGGAACTGCTTTTGTAGAGAAAGGCAGATGGCATTCTTGAAATACATGTTCTGTAAGTAATTATATTAGATAAATTTCAAATTAATGTAAATTAAAAAGTTCTGATATTTGTAAGTAATTGAAACGTAACAGTTTACTAATGTGACCATTGAGCATGCTCTGCAGTTGTCAAGTATTCATGTGTGGTGAGTCAAAGGAACAACTGAGATTCTTATATATCAGCTGGTTCCATTGTACAGATTTACTTAGCTTCCTCAGTGAGAAAGCTTGTTCACATACGTAAACATTGAACAAACTTCGGCCAAAGAGTAAACTGAGCAAGCAGTTATTTCTTGCTTGGTGTACTCTTTGACTGTGAAAATGAAGGTAATACATTCCTCTGAAAGGTCCACACATCACGTTACTACATCCTGGAAGGACTATACTGTACTCTTCATAGTCACCAGTATGAGAACCTCAAAGCTCATGAGGAAAACGTTGATTTCTTCTAATAATGATTGAAAATGTTGCAGAAACTCTACCTTTACTAAGCCAACAAACTTCAGAATAGTGCACAGTATCACCATATTCACCTTTTATTTCATCAAGGAATACATTGTGTTTGTGGTATAGCCCATGTGGCCTAATAAGTTAACTGCACTGATGACATCAGTCATTTTCTGAAATCTCAGCGCTTTGCCAGTCTAAGTTTTGTTGATGAGTACTGCATTTCTGCTGTATTCATTCATTCTGAAGACAGTTTTGCATGTGCTCGTAAAGAAGAGACTTCATACTGTTATTAGAACCATTCATAGAAGACAACAGAATATAAATAAACCCAGCAAGTACAGTGGACTGCAATTAAAGTAAATAAAATTTTCTACATGTCAGTAATAACCTTACAGCAGATAAGCCAGTGCTTACAATTATTAAATAAAAGCACCTGCATAATGCTGACAGACTCGTCCCATAAAACCCAGAATTGGAGCATTTCCATATAATCTTAAACTGGACAGAGCTGTAACTTGCGAATTTCTTCTTTAATGTGGGAGTCCAGATGGGTGAGATTTCCTTGCAACACACTTGGTGGACCTCATCATATATATGTCAGGCTAATTTTGATGTTTCCAACAGACCTTGCACCAGATTGTATTTGTGCCTCTTAATACTAACTAACTCATGGAGATGGGCCCTTCTTGAGAAGCTGCAAGTTGTGCAGCTACTCAAGAATTTCCAAACATTTTATAGAACTCAAAGGTTCATACCATGTTCACAAGAAATCTCCATTGATCCCTATTCTGAACCAGATCAATGCAGTCCATACCATGCGATTCTGTCTCTCTAAGATCCATTTTAATATTGTCCACCCACCTGTGTCTTGGCATTCCTAGTGGTCAACCAAGATGTAGGGCCTCTTAACACATACTTCCAAAATATGCCTGTTTCACTGACATAATATCTGACTGAAATAACATGAAGTTTGGTTTAAGATGAGATGACTTGACAGCAGTGGTCTAGCGAGACAGATGTCACACATGCTGACAAATATACACAAAGTGCTATCAAATGGTAATTTCTGTGATGAACATGGAAACCCTATGAAGCCAAGGATTATAAAGGACTGCAAATCATAAGGGATAGGTTGACAAAGGGGACAGAATGGCAGTCAGTTACTTGATATAATGCAGACATGGAAATCGACAAAAAAAATAGTTTTTTTTTGCCTGTTAGAATTGACAGTTGTGAACAGCTGTCTCCTCCTAACTTTGTGTGGTGCCAGAATGAAAACAGAAAAAACAAGATGTGACCTACCTTTCAGCATCCATGTACTATAACTGGGACAGTTCCTCAGTCTACACACTTGATCCCTGAAGATGAAGGCAGAATATTTCTCTAAAATGCATTTGCCTAAAAGTCTACACAGCATCACAAAAAATCACAATCTGATGAGAGAAAAGATTTACTTTCCCATGTTTCTTGTGAGGCATTGCAGAGTAAATGATGACATAATTTAATAGATAACAGGGCCAGCTGAACCTACAATTTAAGGTCTAGTCATATCATCCTGCATGACATTTGTGCGAACTTTTCATATCAGACATCGAACCATTCCAGCTCATACCTTCTTGTAAGCATGTTGCATCTAGTATCTTCTGAAGAATTGTGTGTTATATCAGTTTTATCAGAAGAAGAGAATATTCAAAATAGTGAGAAACGTAAACATAAGTGCTTTTCCATCCATAAAATGCTTAATGAAAGGAAGACAGAAGGAGAATACTGAACTCTCTACAAAGAACTAATGGATGATGAAGAAAATATTTTTCAAAATTTTCGTTTATCTCAATATCAATTTAATGAGTTGGAAAAAATCAAAGTGGTGATAACTAAGGAAGACACAGTTTTCAAGGAAGCAATAACTCCTAAAGAAAAACTACCAGTTTGCTCGAGGTAAGTTTACATTTATTAATTTCTACTTATGTAGCAATACAGTGTTATCAGAAGTTATTATAATAATCTTCAAGTCTGTCTGATGTTTGCACAGAATTTAGTGCTTGTTCTTGTGCAGTGTTAAATTCTTGAGAAAAATTCATATTTCTTTGAGAATTTTGTTTCTCCTGATATAGTTGAGATCTCCAGCTGTCACTTGAGTAGCTATAGGTAGATGGGCCGGGAGAAGGAGTGGGTGTCATCGCTGGATGGTATTGATGCTCTGGCTGTTGTGATGGTTGGGTTACTAATTCTATTTCTAATTTGGAAATGACTGAAAAAACTTATTCTTTTGCTATAGCCCTCTGATGTGGTGGAAATTTTCTTACAGTTACTGGCATACTGGAAAAAAAATGTATCGATGTCATCTGCTTGCTTCTGGTTCAGTAGATATTTCATTATCACAGCCAAAGAGGTTTCCTGAGGTTCAGGTTTCTTTAGGAATTGTCATGATTTCAACCTTGTGGGTAAGCACACCAATGGGGCAGTGGACTTTGGTGTGTTGGAGACTGGTGTACCTGATTTTTTAGACAAAAATGTGGGAACTGTCGGGTTATCTTCTGGAATTCTTTCCATGTCACTGGAGCTTTCATCATGTGTGTCCCCTTCTGCACAATTTATGGAAGTGATGGTAGTCCTGTCCATTAAATAGGGTTGAAGAAAGGACAACTCATCCTCAAATTCCAATTTTTTTACAGGCACACATTATTGCCCACTTTTAGTTTCTTTCTGCCTCTTCATTGCACGTTGAAACCTGTCTCTCATAGCATTCCAGTATTTTTTACACTCTTTATCTGAAAGAAAAAACAATTAAATTAAAATAAAATCGACCCAATTCAATTTTTCAATTTAACTTTAATTTCTTTTCAGATTCCTGGCTACTGGAGACTCTTTTAAATCTATAGCCTTCAGTTATCACCTCAGAATAAGCACTGTGCAAAACATTGTTGTGGACTTATGCAACATTATTATACAACAGTTATTGGAATCGTATATGCCCATTCCAACAACCAAAAGATGGTGCGAGATTGTCAATGCATTTTGGAATATGTGGAACTTTCTGAACTTTGTTGGTGCCATTGATGGTAAACATGTTGTAATAGCAGCCCCTGCTAACAGCGAATCCTTGTATTTTAATTACAAAAAGACATTTTCAATTGTGCTAATGGCTCTTATGGATGCTAATTATAATTTTATTGTGGTGGATATTGGTGCCTATGGAAAAAATAGTGACTGGGGTATATTTGCCAACTTGAAGCTTGGAAAATATTTGGCTCAGAAAAAGCTAAATATACCTGAAGATAAACCATTTCCAGAGACAGTAACACCCATGCCGCATTGGGCATAATTGGAGATGAAGCCTTCCCACTGAAGACTTACTTAATGAGACCATATTCTGCTTCACAAGAAGCCAATCTCATAAAAATTAATTTCAAAAAAAGGTTGTCACATGCACGAAAAGTTGTCGAAAACGCATTTGGGATTCTAGCCCAAAAGTTTCATTTGTACAATAGAAGAATACAATTGAAACCCAAGAATGCAGAGAAAGTTATATTGACCACATGCATACTAAACCATTTAATTAAAACCGGTGGTAATGTGAACTTTCATGTACAATACCAAACTTCACTTAATTCACCTAATAATTTAAATACAATACTACATCAAGGAGGCAACAGTCAACAGAGGCTGCTTTTCGCATCAAGGAACAATTTGCTAGGTTTCTAAATTCCCCAGAGGGAAGAACGGGCTAAAACATAGGCCTACACTCTAACTTACATATCATTGTACTTAATTAATGTTTAAAATAAAATATTTCTTTACTTACCAGATGTGTGTAACTTTTGAGCAATATCTCTCCATGCTGTGTCCTTTTTTTTTGGGTATCACTATATCTTTTGTCCTGTAAATCATAGAAAAATTAACACTCCCATACTAATTCAATTTTTCATTGTCCATGATGGCAGTGCACTTGGATGTGTATGAATACGACTGAGACTCGTTCATACTGTACGTATTGCTTCCATTGTGGTCTGGCACAGCACGTTCAGACACATAGCGTATCAGACAAATATTCTCTCCGAGAATCCCGCACTGAGTCAGACCGTGCCGCATCGTACATGAAACGATTGAAGCATGATGATATGAATGTATCTGGAAACACTATGTCACGCGGTGACGTAACGCGCAACGCTAACGTAACCGTAATCAACGTCCTACTGTGACGTGGCACTCATTACGCCACAGGCAAGCACTGCAGCTATATAAGTGGNACTATGTGTATGAAACGATCAATGCAGGATGATATGAATGGACCTTTAAAGACTAGGATATGGTTAGTCAGGGAGTTAAAGGTTAATTTAGGGTCTCAAAATTATTTAATATATTACATCTTCAACAAGTATGCCATATAAGTTCTGCTCAGAACTTAATATATTGTAACGTGTTTTTCTACTGAAGATGCCGTTTGGATTGTTAATTGGTTTATTTAACAACTTACAAGTCTTGGCTACAATTAATTATAACACTGTTACAGGTTTACGCAATTTACAACCCTACACAATAATCTGTCCACTCTGTCCTCAGTAGTCTACACATATTCACAGTACGATACGGGAGTTATTCCACTGTCACTGTATTACACACTCCCAATTACTTCTCTTGTGAGCCAAGCATCTGCTTCTCACACTGTCACTTCTAATCACACGTTCCGGTATTCTTCTTTCCGCTACAACTGAACTCGGCGACTGTTCCATCTGCACTGTGTCACTCCTGCTCACACACTACTAACTACTAACTACTACTGACTGACTGCTGACTCCCTGGCTAACTCATAACTCTCGTAACTAACTGTGAATAGTGTTCGCTGCTCCCTATTTAGCCCCGTTATGGACAACACAGAAAACAGTTACGTAATAGGCACCGCTGTTGCGTAACATCATGTTTACCAACTGCCTAGGAACAGTCGTTGCACGGACTCCCCACCGTGTTTACAAAGGCGTTGCTGGGCAGCGCTGCTGGGAGTTGTTTACAGCTACATAGCAACTGCGGCGTCCCGTGTTATGTCACCGCAGGGAAAGGGGTGTCTACAGAGCGTTGCACACTGATGGACGGAGTGGCAGTATGTGACATCACTCGTGAGATCACAGAGTTCACGCGACCCCCACCTCCCACTGGGACTACCTTCGTCAGTAAAATCCATTACCAGCATTAATTTGCATTTCAACCAATCGCAAGAGAAGACTGTGACTCTGAAATAATGTGAAGGAACTACGAAAATGTCTGTAAACATACGTCTTTCTGGTTCGGATATGGAGCTTGGGGCGGAGAGCATTCATGCTTGTTTTCCCACCGAAATGGAAGGTTACAGCGGCTCTCTTCATGATGAACTACGAGAGAGCACAAAACTGTCCCGAGACTCAACAAGCAGCGGCTGCTTTGGTTGGGTCTGAACATGCTTGTGCGTCAAAAACGATTTGGACGTCGACGATGACTTTTATGACGAGTTACCCAGAAAACACAGGAGATGGCACGAAACACTCCCGAGACTGGTCCACCAGCGGCTGCTTCGAGTGGATCAGAAGATGGGTACGTGAGAAGATCACAGCAAATGGCGACGGCCACAGCACACCAAACGTCGAGGGTGATCGCTCAGCAAACAACGATCTCAACAGCCCAGTGACCAGCGATGGCGAGAGCACAGCCAGCGGCAAGGGCGACATCACACACAACGACAATGGCAAGAGCACTGCCAAGGGCGAGGGTGACCACCCAGCAAAAGATGACAGCGAAAGCTCAGTGACCAGCAATGGCGAGGGCAACGTCACACACGACGACGGCAAAAGCACAGCCAACAGCGATGGGCCATAGCGAGATCACAGAGTTCACGCGACCCCCCCCTCCCACTACGCCATCCACGTCACAATATTATACACAGAGTTGTTATCCAGGTGCCTGCCTGTCCTGCTTTTGAGAACCTAGAGCTTTATGTTATGATGCATTCCTTTAGCCAGGGAATCAAGATTGAAGGTGCCAGGTAATCGACTACACCATTTCCTGTTAGCTGTAAGTAGAGACTGTTAGCCAAGGGCCACAGTGTTAATGTGGAAATCAGGTCTGTGACAGCTCTAATGATGGAATTTTTAATTGATACTCATGACGGTTAACTAAGCTTTGGTCCATTATACATTTATCTTGCTTAAATTTATGAATTTATGAGTGAAACGTACGTGTAGAAAATCAAATGTGTAAATTGTTCATGTTACAAAATCTAAATATCATATGTTTCTGCTTCTCTTTCCATACATAGAACTAGAAATCTAGAATCAAGTGAATTTATGTTTCAGCTTCAGCCAGTATGCCATTTCTGTGCGGTTGGCATCCCTTGTACCAATAGAAGAATGTCGTAGAGCTCGTACATACAAAAATGACCCCCATCAATGGAAATACCTTTGCATTGAAGGTAAGAACGTTGTTCATTATTCTTAATCATGAAGCATAAAATTTCATATCCAAAGACCTAGTGTGTTGATCCATGTACAAGTCACACTGTCAGAGAACTGACCACCAAATCTGTGGTGCAGGGTCTTTTGAGAAGTTTATGGTTGCTTAATTGGTCAAGATATTCCCTGTTTCCTATGGAACCTGAAGGTTCTTCACCACATTCATGAGTTCATATTAGAAAAAAAGAATTTTAACGTTCATTCCCAATTTCTGTAAAGCACATTTATGATCTGCATCTTGAATTTTATGATCATGTTTTTTAACTTCTGTAATGATTGACTTCGTAACACAGAAATGCTGTACTCATTGGTTTCGTTTCATGTTATTCGTTCAATACTTGAGTAACCATTGAAGAGAACAATTTGAAGGTCACCATTCCTTAAGAAGGTAACATATTTTAGGTCAAAAAATTTATGAACTTAAAAAGTGGCTCCCCACCCCCAAATGGAATATAAGATGCAAGAACTATTCAAAGTCTGATATACACTAATAATCCAAAATCGACATGTTGCAAATGAAAGTGGTGACGGACATAGCGTTTCTCCAGGAAACATGGATATAAATAAGCTATTTTTCTGTTATAACACAAGGTGTTAATTTCCTGAATATTATGATTGTGTATTTGGTACACAACTTTATAAAAAATGATTTAATTACTAATAATAACACAAACTATTATGAAATGTTTCAAAAGTACATAGGACTGAATTGTGTTGAAGTTGTGAATTTGCTTATAAATAATTATATTTGCCACATTCTCTGTTCCTATTTGACAGAGCCCTTTGACCTCACGAATACAGCTCGATCAGTGTATGATCGAGATGTGTTTCAAAGGGTAAAGGCAGTGTTCCAAACTTCATACAACAGCCTGAAGAAAACTCGCAATATTGAAAGTATATTCCACTTAGACAAGAAGGTTTAGGATGCATCCAGTTATCTTTGCCTTTGTCTGAAGAGGAAAAGAAAAGTAGTTACCACAAAGATGATTCCACAAATTTCATGGCAGATTTTTTTCTGCGGTGCTTGAGCAAGGTTGTGAATGTGTGTAATGCATTCCTTGCAGTTTTTTAAGCCTTGTGATTGGATGGTGTTTGGTATGGCACCATAAAAAATGTATAGAAATCTGCCTGTGATGGTCTGTGGTGAAACAAGATGAACATGTTTGGGGAGTAGCAAAGCATGAACTAGTCAAACTTGAGAATAATACTTGACTGTGATTATGGTTGCAGCTTTAAAACTAGAAGAGAAATAATTTGAATATTTTGTTCATTTATATAATAAGGTAATGTTCCCCTTCCTCAAGACTGAGTAACATTGATAGAAGACAAGAAAAATTATTGAAAGAAAGTTTTCTGACTAAAGAATATACTAAAATTGGTTATTGCTTCGTGTCTTTGCTGGGAAGTTAAGCATTTTAATTTTTAACAAAATAAAGCTATTCTTTGTTTTTAAAATGTTTTGCATAACACTTTTCCTTAGAGATGCATAAAATCTAAAATAAACCTAAAAAAGTAAAAAGAACTTAAAATCTGGTGATCTAGAATGTTTGAGGACACCACAAAAAAAATACAGTTTGTAAACATGACATGGGATAGCCATTGACAGCTGGAAAAATAACAGTCATGAAAATATGTAACAGAAAAATGTTTGGATACTTTTTTAACTTTGGCAGAGCTAGAATGTTATTGTCCAAAAATTCTCTACATATGAAACTTATTGAGCATTATGTGTGAAGGAGCCTGTAACTTTATTTGGTAGTTACTGGATAATGATGGAGTTGAAAATAGTTATAAATGATTTTAAATTGTCATTAGCATTAGGATTATTTTAAATATCTGAGAAGAAACAAAATCAGTTACTTGTGTTCTACGCTCAGAGAAAATTATTCAAACAAATGTGATGTTTATTTCTACATGTTGGTAAAAAATTGAGAATTCTTGTTAGTGGAGATGTAAGTGTAAATTTGTTGTAATGACATACATGTCACCTCACAATGGCATATCCATTTTTGTCATTAGTAAGTAATGCAGCAAAACTATCAGTAATCATGATCATTGTATGTAAATTGGTATAGAATGAAGTTTATCTACTGTAGCTGCATTGCTTTGCATATTCTTTCTGTTAGAGATTTTAATCTGTATTTGTTCTGTGCATTCCTTGTAGTAATTATCAAAGTAAATATTATTTAATAGTATCAAACCATGTTAAAATGGCTTGCCATTTGACCAAAGTACAATAGTTGAGATATGCTGTAAAGATTTGCACAGGGTGTAGAAATTTTCTAGGTAACCTTAATGGCAATAAAAAGGATCAGTTTGTAAAGGATTTTCTTTATATAGACAAGCTAAGCAGTATTTCAGTGAGTGAAGCCAGGTGCAAAAATATTAATCAAGATGATGCACTCTTATTATATTTCATAAAATTGGCAATTCTCCATGGATGGATATATATTTACATACTTACATTCATGCATTTTAGGACTGTTATAACACAGTTTTGCATGGATATGTTGGAGCAACAGTAACATCTTTCATGACCCTGAGATTATGTTATGTAGTGAATTTTGTGGTTTAGGGTATCTGATTTGGTAATTAATTTAGAGCAACGATTGAATCTTTTGACAGTTGTCCAAATAACTATGAAAGTCTAATTAAAACTGTGAGGATGTGTTTAGCTTGTATAGTTACAATGTTAACTGATTAGTTTTGTAGTGTACTTAAAATAGTTGTTTAATGTGGTATCAATAAAGAGACAGATATGAACTACATGATATATGATGAAGAAATTGGCAATTTTGCTCAGTTTATATCCTGTTGGCTATCTCAAAATGTTTCCATTCTTGGAACTGAAATACTGTAATTCCATGACTATGCTACCAAGTATGCACTCAGGTTATCAGTTGTAAAGAGAATCCTGTTAAAGTAGAAACATAATTAGTTTTGATAAACCCATGATATGAAATGTTCCAAGTGTCTTACATAATCTGTATATATAAGTGCCAAAAATATGTTTCCCACTGCAGCTTTTCTGAATTGATGAATTAAAAATTTCTAAAGATATTATTGGTATGTGTTTTGCCATGAGATGTGATTGAAGCATGGCAAGTTCATACTACTAGTTTAATGTTTCGAGAAGAGTTTTCTCTGTCACTGGACATAGTAATATTGGGTGGTGTAAGTATTTTGCATGGTTGCCCTTCTGGTCTAAGCATTCCCAATATGTGCTAATCATGCACCCTTATCATATGTATTCTCATTACATTGTAGAAATTTATGGCAATGTCTGCTATACAGTTATTAAAATTTGCTGTTATGATTTTTCTTTCTTTCTCTTTCATTTTATGTCCATGTTCTTTATTTTTTTGTTGTTTTTTTGAATAAAGTATTGTTCACCAATATCCTAAACACTGCATTTAATTGAACTCTAGTGTATGTGTACTTTTGTAAACACCAAGTACAGAAACTAATAGGAGTAGCAGCAATAGATATGTATAGATCTCTCATGTCAGTATTTTAAGGTCAACCATGCAGTTTTTACAAGAGAGTGAGATTTGTCTACTGGTTTATGGGTAATTATGAAATAAACCTATCAGCAGTCCATGGCTATATGAGAGAGAAATATTTAACATTATATTGAATCCCTTAGACAAGTATATACTAATTACACAGTTTATTTATTTTTATTTATTTTCTTCTTTGTGAGCAGTATTTGTTAAAAAATTTGTTGTTCTTGTATTGCTGAAGAAGCTGTTAATGGACTGTACTGATTAAGAAATTTAACAAAAGAATTGGAATAAAGATCATAATGGAAGATGGCTTCTCATATCATCTTCAGAGTTCAAGTGTACATGTTAATCAAACTATGCCATAGTTCAACATAATGATCAATGTACAGTGCACTGCCAAAATTCTGTGTCTTGTATGTCCCATATTTATGGGATCACCAAACTAAAATCGTTTCATTAAGCAATGATCTTTGTAACCTTTATGTGTATACATGGTTAATTAATTACATTACCTTCTAATGCAGCATACAAATTTTATAAATAATTTTCTGTTTTAATGATTCAGGGGAGGACACTCTTATCACAAGTGAAAAGCTAACTTCTAATACATGCATTTTATACCAACATATCACCATGTGTTGAGAGCAAGGTAACTATCTTTCTGATGAATATGGCCCTTTTATATAATCTGATATATTCTACTTAATAGATTATGTCTATGGGTCATATAAAACTGTAATATCATGCATGACTATTCCAGTAGTGTGTGTTCCAGGATACTATTGTGCCTTGGCAGCACAGCTGAGAGTGTATTGACTTTCCCAGGCTTAGCAAGAGCCATTACCATTTATGTAACAGGAGTGGGTAAGAATCAGGGAAGCCTATTGTCATAACTGTTTTATATACATATGATTGTCTTCACATTGTATGACTGATGGAAAAGAAAACGTTCTTCAAAGCATTCACTAAAATATCTGACTTCTGTGACAGTATTTTCTGCTGTAACCAGTGTAAAGAGATGCAGGTTTTTTAATCTTATAAACAGGAATTATAGTGAAACCTTGCTAATCTGAACTATATGAAGAAAAGCTAATCATGATTAGCAATAATCTAGATCTGCAAAGTGATAATAAAAAATGCTAATAACTTTAATGTACTCTTAAAACTAACTTCATGGAGCTGAGTCCTTGAGAAGTTGCCAGTTGTGCAGCTACTCAAGAACTTTCCAACATTTTATGGAAGCTGAAGGTGCATAACCATGTTCACAAGAGCCCTCCAGTGTTCCCTGTCCTCAGCCAAATCAGTTCAGCCCATACCACTCATCCTATCTCTTTAAGACCATTTTAATATTATTCGCCCACCTACATCATGGTCCTCCTAGTTGCCTCTTTGCTCCCATTCATCCTACATGCTGTGCCCATCTCATCCTCCTTGACTTGATTATTCTAATTATACTTGGCAAAGAGTGCAAATTATGAAGGCCCTCAGTATGCAGTTTTTTCCAACCTTCTGTCACTTTATCTCTCTTCAGTCAAAATATTCTCCTTAGCACCCTGTTCTCCAACATCCTCAATCTTCCTCCTTTAATGTCAGAGACCAAATTTCACACCCATACAGAACCACAGGCAAAATTATGGTTTTGTGTAGTCTAATTTTTACGTTTCAAGACGGAAAGCGAGAAGGCAGATGGTTCTGGACTGAATAGTAGCATGCATTACCCGAATTCAGTCTCCTCTTAGTTTCTTCCTGAATCAAATTTTGATTTGTTACTGTCATTCCCAAACATGTGAATTGAGCCACATTTTTTAAGGCTCTGTTAACTATCTTTGTGTCATGATCTTGCCCTGCATTTTGGTGACAAGACAGCAACATGTACTTAGTTTTCTCTATACATTTACCTTGTGACCAACATGCTTAGCAGTCATTTTGAGACTCAAATGATTCCTACACATGGTTCATAAGATATTGTGATTATATCTGTCTTATTTCAAAAGTTGATATCAGAACTAGGTCTAAGATATTATGATCTGGGAGTTGTATGTGAAACTCTACCTTTAGCAGACTCAGATTTTGAAGAATGGAATAGCATATAAAAGCCTTCTATGGCAGAAGTCACATTATGGTGACAGAGCAAGAGATCTTTATTGTAAGGGTATAACAAACAACTGAGGACACAGGGTTCTGCAGTTCTGAGAGCTAGTATTGGCATCATTACCCAGTGTCAGAACTGGATACTGATCAGCAATGTTTTACTGTAAGTCTGTAGAAGTGATAAAATTGTATCAAATTCTTCCTAAGTATGAAATTATAATGGGATTTATAAATGTATTCAGGACCTCTGTATGTAGAATTCTTATTTATCTACTATAGTTTCTAATCAGTGCGATATTTTTGTAGAAATGCTCTTCAGGGATGCTGGAAATATTGATATGGGAATGGTCCTCTTCTCTGTGACAGTTTGCTCATCTAATAAACAGATGCCACATTGTATTTGTTAGCACTCTTGCTCATATTCAGTAAGTCACTGATTTTTAATTTTGGCCCTGAGGCCAACAGTCCTGGTTGATATTCTTGTCCTCAGTCCCCCTAGGCAGATGCTGTGACAGTACTTAAATATGTTATGTAGTAAAGACAAGCAGCGGCACACACACAGGAAGACTACACTGAATAACACCTGTACAGTGTGGAAACAAGAACTAGCCGCTCCAGCACTTTAGACATAGGGCGAGTAACCCTAACAATTTTAAATTTTAAATTTAAAATTTAGAGACATTTTAAAGGATTTTAAAATCATAACTAAAGATTTTATAGTGCTACTACAGGAAAAACAAATTTGACGTGTGCAATATAATCTACATACCAGACACATATCAACGAGGTAGATGTTGATAATACGAAGAAAATAACAATGTGTTTTTAAATGTTAAATTTTAGACTGGGTTCAGTGTAGCAGCAACGTTAAGAGTATACACCTGATGATGGCCGATAGAGGCCGAAACATGTAGTGTGGAAGAGAGCAAGACCAAAGACATATAATATATTGTAACGTGTTTCGTTACTGAAGACGCCGTAGAGATGGTTAATTGGTTTATTTAACAATCTACAAATAACGGCTACAATTACTTATCACACAGTTGCGGGGTTTCACACTTTATAACCCTAATCGCATTAATCTGTTAACACTGTTGCGGGGTTTCACGATTTATAACCCTATGCGCAAATCAGTTCACTCTGTCTTCAGTAGTCTACACGTTTACAGTAGGGGAGCTAGGTATCACTGTATCACACGCTCCCAATTACACAATTACACACACGTCCGG